TTTGTAGCTAAATTTATCTTTTTCACCAATGTGTTATTGGGTATGGGCCCCGGAAGCTCAAAGTTTACTACCATGCTTGTAATTGAGGGAGTAAATGCGGATAATAGTTACGTTTCACTAGATAACTTCGTATGTGCCAGCACTCTGCAGTCTGTTCTCCTCGTTCTCCATTTATATTGTAAGTTATCACACACGTAATCCCGTCTGCTGATAATAAGCTGGCCGTTAATATCGTATTATTTGCTATTATAACCCCCGCGCGGAAGGTTTCCCTGGCTGTATTTATTTCTGTACACTTGACGAGAGCAAGAGTTTGCCTCAATTCCGATCTATCTAGATTGCATTCTCCAGCAACAAAATAATTTTTGGTTACAAATAAAATAAAATAAACAATAAAAATAAAAAACATTTTCTGTCAAAAAAATGAAGCATTATTGCAAAATATTCTTTGGTAAACCTTTGACATCAATTTCAAAGGAAACGTGAATGATCGAACATTAGAAGGAATAAAAAACTTTCGCAAAATTGCCCGCTTGATCTCGCACCTGTCTTTGAATTTTTCTTTAAGATTTATTTGGCACGTTAACTATTGTAATCGGATCAATCGGTTTTTAGAGAGACTACAAACGGGCGTACTTAAAGAATTTTCCCTGTATCCATATATGATGTTCAGGTTCTACGCGTAAAGAACTCTAAAATAGCACTAAACTTTTCACTCGACTGCATAATTATCGCACGCAGTTGAACTGATTTAAAGCTTCCTTACGTCCACTGGGAAAAGAAAATTAGTATATTATCTATAGGCTTATATGACATGTTAAGTAATACGAAGACATGGAAAAATATGATTGTGCCTCGCTTGGAAATTATTATTATTATTATCCAGAAGGACACGATTCTTGAACAACAATCGTTCCGTCATCGCGACAGTAAATATTTCTTTCTTCTTATTCGTTTTATTAATACTTATACTTATAATCAATATAAGAATTACTTTAAGAGTCAATTGAAGTCGACTGTCAATTATTGTTTCAGTTGAGTTTCATGCATAAGTAACTAAAGTAAATAAATAAAAAAACAAATTGCGGTCTAACATAAAATCGAAAGTATAACAGAACAAAGAGGCATACACAACGCAAATGTTAAAACAATGGTTACAACGCCGTCAAAGATAGACCTTTAATTTGCCAAAATTCGAAGTTCGCTCATTTACTTCTCCTTTAATTTGCCAAAATTCGAAGTTCGCTCATTTACTTCTCCTTTAATTTGCCAAAATTCGAAGTTCGCTCATTTACTTCTTTCTTCTTCTATTTTACAATAAGCGCACTAAACGCATGCATGACTGATAGACAATAATAGAGTAGCGACCGCAGCTTTCTTCTACTTTTGTCAAACAATCGAAAATATATGTAACTAAAATATTTGATTAAACGATGAAATTCTCTTTTAAAAATTAGAAGATAGATAGAGAAAACGCTATCGACCAGAATTACAAAATATTTCATTTTCTGCTTAATAACATTTCAGTCTTATATGTTCGTTCTGTTCTTTTTGTTACGGCTAACAGCAACAAAAGCCACTTACAGACAAATTTATCTAAGTGCCTCCGTGGCGCAATCGGCTAGCGCGTTCGGCTGTTAACCGAAAGGTTGGTGGTTCGAGCCCACCCGGGGGCGTTCTATGTCTAAATATATCTTGAAAATTTTTTTTTTTTCCTCGCTCCCAAGTAAGTAACAATTAGCAGATAACGAAGGTTATGTTGTTGCTGCACATTTTATTTAAAACGATTACTAAAGCTTTTGTTTTACTTCATTTTTGTCAAGTAATCTTTTTCGGTCACTTTAAAGAAGAACCACTGTTCAATGACCATGCCCAAAACACGCCTTTAAAGGAAAACATTGAATCGTTTTATAGAGCATTCATGGATTTATAAGTGAGACGGAAAGTGACGGTGCAGAGATGACAAAGGTTATGTCGAATATTGTAAAGTTAATTAGGGAAATGTATAACACCCCGTAGATAGAGTTTTGAAATCATAAACGTACTGAGTGGATGGCGATCCTTATCTTAAATGTGAAGCCTACTGAAATCTTGTGCTCCTTTCAAAAACTCATTTAGTGCTAAGGATTACTGGGGTTTTATGAAACGGCTTTTGTAACGTTCAGGCTTCAAGTGTAAAAGCAGTGATAAAGTTTGCACACAACCATACTTTCATATAAAGGCATACTTTTCATGAATGCCCGCATATTGGTCACGCGACTTGATCCCTAACCTACAAACCTAATTCACTTCCCAAAGAGTTTATTATTTTTCATTTTCCCTCATAAGAAGTTTCAAATCGGACTGCTCGTCATATAAGAGATTGCTTTTCATGATAACTTCTACACAGCGAGGATCTAAAACAGCGACCTATCCGATCCAAATGCAACCACTTTTCATCATAAAATATTAATCATTGAGTCTTTTTCTAAAGGGTTTACTATTCGTGAAGGATCTTATTGGAAATGGGGTCCAAGAAATAGATCGATGTGATCCATATTAAGTCCATTCAATTTTCATGTCAAATAGTTATTGTGAATGAATTTTCATCAAAAAATGCTGAACATTAGGCCTTTCTACTATATCAACATTCCCTAGTTTCCCTAGTAAGGTGTGATGTATTTAATATAACTACTTAATTTTAGTGTAATTACTCTTAGTAAGCATATTTATTTTTAACGCAGTGTTAGTGACCTAGTTTATAATCTGTTATTAGCGTAAGCATTTACATTTTTTATATCCATTATTAAAAGATGAGAGATATAATCGTTTTGTCAAAACGTTTTTCACGCCCAGAAGAAAGCTTCAGAGACCCTACAAAATATGTATATTCTCGATCAGCATCAAATTTTAAATCCGTCTGTCCGTCTGTCCGTCTGTAGTAAACATCCTCTTGGCCGCAAGAATGAAGCTACTGACTTCAAATTTAGCAAAAGCATTCGAAGCTCTTCCACGTCCGTTGGTATTGAAAATGGACCAAATCTGTCGAAGGACACGCTCACAGCACTACGAAATGAGAGAGATTTGAGAGGAAATAAAAAATTAATTTTTTCCTCATTACCCATAAAATGTAGCAACTATTTCTACAAACACGTATTGTATAGATGACGCTACAGCGCCTGCCAAAAAATGGGCAAAATTTGTTACGTCCTTTCAATATTACAGTGTATCAAAATTTAATTTTTTTTTTTTCAATGCCTTTTCAAGACGCAGAAACAAGCTTCGATAAGCCCTATAAAGTGCATACGCCTATGCGACAAAAACTAATTTTGAAAATGGAAAAAATCAGCCGCGCCCACTTGATTTTAGGGAGTATAAAAATTTAGTTCTTTTACTTTCTTTGTCTTTTTTAGGATAACGGTGTTGGGTATAAAAGATTCGATCACGACCGAATATAACTTTCATTGATTTACCCTAATTTTAATTTTGCACAGCGTAAACATTACTTATAAATGTATTCTAATACATAAGTTAATTTAATAGTTATACGCTCGAGATAACAATTGAGAAAACAATCGAAAAAAATTGCTGCTCATTGGATTGACTTCGGCATTTCTATCGGTTCAAGGAAATCAGATGCCGAGGATTAACAATACGTTTTCCTTTGAACATAGCACGATCGATCTTCACTATCTCATATCCTGCATGTTCATAACATGTACGAGGTCCGCAAGGTTGTCCCATTCAATTCAAATTTTTCACACTAAATACTATTACTCAGCGATTCCTTGCGAGAAATTTTGAAAAATGCAAAACTTTTTTCATACAATCACTGTTCAAAATAAGGAGCTATTTGGGTAGGGGTCGAAAAAATTGTCCGATCCAACCAGCTTCAATAGGATTCGTTGTAGGGCCAAAGCGCGCCAGTCTACCAAATCTCGCGTAAGATACGAATATCGTGAGGATATGCTCTGCAAGTTTGAACATCGCATCGCCTCTGTTATATGATCATTTACGGCGACTTCTATTAAACATTTGTTCAAACCAGCATATCGATCAGTAAGTAATACGTCTAGCATGAAAACGGTAGTATAACTATACATGGGTAACTGAAGCCGTGGGTAACTGAAGCGACATAAAGAAAATGTATTTACATTTATCATCAGTTGTAAAGAATTAATTTAGAATTTCAAAGTTTTATTAATTGTATACGATTCGACATTTTTTTACACCTATCAACGGCCGATGGTGGTATATTCGTTTTGTCAAAACTTTTGCAACAACTTGAAGGAAACTTGTGAGACCCTACAACTATGTATATACTTGATTAGCATGTCCGTCTATCCGTCCGTAATACATCAGCTGCAAATTTGTTCAAAAAATCAATGAAAATTATTGCAGGCAGATTGGTGCACAGTACAACATAGGCGGAAAGGAGTGGCCGATTTGCAGTTTTCGATCTCGAGTAAATTCAATCATAATTTGAGCATGTTATTCAACAGTAATTTTCGACAGAAATTTCGTTTTCCATAGCAAAAGAAATACTCTCCGCCCGATTCGTTACAGCGAATCTCTACTCCACAGCTATCGAATTTACTCGATGTCGAGAAGCATGAAGAGTACTTAGCTCTGCTTTCAAAAGCGAAAATCACTCAGAAACCATAATGAGTTCTCTTAAATGTTTAGATTTATTTAAGAGGTTTAATTATAAATGCAAGCTTAAAGCTTTCAATTACGACGATTCATTGGATGCGAAGCGAGCAGGAGATATTATAAATTCGACTTTAACTAATAATTGTTTTTCACTACAATCAAAAACAATGTTAATCTAAATCAAAAACATTCAGTTAAGCCAAAGCATATTGCTATGAAGTGGAAGATTGAAAAGTGAAAGAGAAGTGAATCTATTACTTACTGCGCATAGCTTCTTATCTCAAACCTAAAACATACAAGTGTGAAAATGTAGGGTAAACCTGCGTAGCCAGTTCTTCTGCTAAAATGTATCTTAAATAGAGATGTTTCCACTTTAATACGCTTCAGTTAATAATTTAGAGTGAATTGCGACAGTTCCCTTTCTTCCCAAAAAATGGATTTAGATTTTAAAATTCCGAAATGGGTTAATAAAGACATTTTTCATAAAATGTTAAAACAAATTTTCGACGGCGTAGACGACATTATTTATTTCGATATCGCACGCGCTTTAACGTCGGGCGAAAACTATTCCACTTTAATGCTAAGAGTACAAATCAAAATGAAATTAAAAGGTAATAATTATTGGATCAATTGAAGCCATTCTAAAATGTCAACACGCCTTTCAGATGGCAGGACGAGGAGTTCCTCTTTCATGCTTAAGTTACCGCACGAGACTAAAGAAATGAAAGATATGTTAACCTCTTTAAATTTTTTCCATCTTGAAAACGTCGTCTACCAGAATGTGTTAAGTGAAATGGAACGAATGTATACAGAATCGGGCGTCGAGTTGCGATTCGGTGCGAAATCTTATCGCTTATCAGCTGATAATGACAAACACTATCTGCTTTTGGAAGATTTGAGTTGCAGTGGCTTCCGAAATGCGAATCGTTTGGATGGTTTAGATGTGGAACATACCGAATGCGTTTTACGCAAATTGGCTCAATTTCACGCGGTATCTGCTTGTAGAGTAGCCACGTTAGGGCCATATACTGAAAAGCGCCTTTTTCATAAGCTCGATAATAAAAATGGTCGTTCGAAAATTAGACAAGTATACGCATTAATGGCGGAAACGTTTATGGAAAATCTGAAAAATTACAAAAACTGTGAAATGTATCGCGAATCCCTGGTGAGTACAAATATTACGGTAGCTTGAAAAAGCAAACCGAGAACAGCTAAGTGTTTTCAAAATGTGGTTTAATTAAGGGAGAGCCCGCGATCGAATCGATTTGTTTCTTAGAAGACGTTGTTAATGAAAACATATGTTTTCTTCCTATCAAGGCAAACATTTTATAAATCCTTTGGTCCTCTTATTGATCGCTTTAAAAGGGCAAAAAATATATACAGCATATAAGGCTCTCGTCTACTCCGTGCGCTGGCGAATAACCAAATAGTTGGGAAGCGCATAGTTAGGAAGTGCAGTCGGCGCGTGAGCATAGTTGTAGCAAACGCTCGGCGGGCAAGGGCATATCACTTGCGAATCGCGCACACAAATTCCAGCCCAGAGTCAATTCCCTATCCCTCTCATAGCACTTCTTTCCACCCATCGCCTTGTCACACGTATAAGGGACATCATCTAAGTGATTGGTCATATGCCTAACGAGATCTAAAACATTTTTACGACACATGAAATCCCTACCTTACCCCATGATTTGTTAAGCTAAGCAAAAGTTATAAAAATAACAAAACGATTTTCATTGTCGTAAAGTAGTCGTTAGTCTCAATATTGTGTGTACAAAGAAATTTTGAAGCTTCTCTTTGTAACTCTCTCTCTCTTAGTCAGAGAAGTAGGTACAATGATTTTATTCAAAATACTACTCCGTCGTTGGCTACGAATTTTTCCTATTATTCAGCCAATTTCCAAATTCCATCCCGAACACAGTCTCGTCTTTTAAGACTATCCCTAAAGAAACCATTATTTGGGCATCGTCATAAATACCAAAGCGGCGTTTGAGTAAACAACAAGTCGTCTATGTAAACCTGTGTTAATGGGTAGTAGTAAGCGGGGACGATAGGGACAAACGTGTCCTGAGCGAGTTTTTCTCTACGCAGCCAAATTGCTTCATACTAAATAGGTTCTATACCACGACGTTTGGTATATTACGCCCACTTATTGGTAGTAGTAATATTCCTTAGGGAATAAACTTCAATGCATCACGACAATCGTCAATTTCATTGATCCGTATATTCTCCATAATGGCTAGTTAGGCTTTGGATATTGTAGCGCCATCACTGTTCATCACTCGTACAGATTGTGCTCCGCTATCCAGTGAACTAATCAGGAAAATTAGAATTTAACGCAATTTTCGGTTTTTCTTTCATCCAAAATTGCATCGATTCAAAGCTCCAAGAAACTATACTGCACGGGGTTTAATGTAATAATTTATACAATTTCATGCGGCGTAAAGATAACACTTTCAAATGAAGAAGTCGCAGCCTTACTCTACACTCTACGGTATCAATTACAGTCTCTCTTTGTACTTCGAATAAGTAGAACTGATCGTGGCGTTGGCATGACAACCTTGATTCTTTAAGAGTTAAGAGAGACAAGTTTATTAAGACATATGTTGGACTCTAAATCTTTACGAAATTTTTATTACATAAATTTTTGCTTAGCGTGTCTGCAGAATGTAAGGTCCGTTACTTTTCTTTTCAGCTATTCTTCTTCAATAACTTAATTGAATGGTTTGTCAAAGCCCGTGTAGTGCACGCCCAGCATTTTAATGTTCTCAACCATGGTGATATATGGACCAATAATATTTTATTTAAATATAAAGCAGACGGCCATGTGGAAGAAACATATTTTGTGGATTATCAAAATTGCAATTACGGATCACCGGCTCAAGATCTTTACGTTTTGCTTATATCGTCCGTTCATGTTGATTTTAAATTAAAAAAATTTGATCATTTCGTCGACTACTATTACAAGCACTTAGTTGAAAATTTAAAATTATTGAAATACCCTTTGGATATAATGAGCCGTCAACAGATGCAGGAGCAATTACAAGTGTTTGGTGGGTGGGCATTTTTAACGAGTTTCTTCATAATGGGCGTCGCCTTACTTGACCCAACGGACAAAGCAAAATTTGAATACGTAATGCAAGATACTCCCGAGGGTAAGGATTTCCAAAATTTAATATATTCCAATCCACGCTACATTAAACATATTGAGGCAATTTTACCATGGTTGCATCAACGAGATTTAATGAATCCGAGGTGAGTTGTGAAAATAATTGGAAAGATATAAATAATTGCAAAAAATTCTTGAAATATTTTGTAGAAATTTATTAAAGGACTTAAGCGGAAACTCTTCTTCGAAACTGGAAATGAAAATCTAATTTACTTACATATTAAGGCATAGTAAATGTTAGCCAACGCCCATGGTTATCCGGCGATTCATTCCAAGAAATTTATTGACAAATTAAAAGCACTTTTGTGTTTTCGGCTATAATACGTAGTTTTATTTATTGACGGGATTTAGTTCAATAATATATAGGCTTATGAAGCTAAATCAAAAAGCAGTTTACTCTAGTACAGGGCTATAGGCTTGTGAATGCATACGGTATACTATAATCTCCCGGGAGCTTTTGCAAAAACCAACCTGCACTGCTGCGAAGGAAGGGAACAACATGCGCTAGTAGGCAATCACTTGGTTCATGTGCCTCGGAACATGATGTTTCTGTGCGCCTCGATGCGAAGCTATCGTAATTAATGGTTAGGTGTGACTGCTGCTGCACAACTGAAGGCATGTGTTAAAGACTGAAGGCATTAGTAAATATAACTATCCTTGACTATGGTAAGATTCTCCAAATCATTGTAAGCACATGTAATTGACTTTTCGAATCTTACAAAAGCCGAAAGAGCTAATGACGTTCAGTTTTAACTTTAGTGAAGAAAGTTACCGAAGGCTCGAGGGTTATCTAAACATACTGCTTTTTTAGTCGCGGCTAAGCTGCTTAGTGGACATTATATGAATAAATGATTACAACTAACTCTCTGTCCTTTGGTTTCACTTTTAATCTTATAACGAATCTCTTTCAATCGTTATCTGTCTGCTTGCATAATCTCTCCCTTTCCCTAACTCTCTCTCTCACTCTCTTTCTCACTCTCTCTCTCTCCCTCTCTCTCTCTATTATTATTATTATAAAAACTGCTCAAGTATGTAAAAAAGTCGCCAGTGATTTTACTCTCAGAAAAGTCAAAAAACGCCTCTCATAAAACTATACGGCCAGGACAGCGAAACCAGCAAACTGAATTCAAAAAGGAAAATTTTAAACAATAGATCTCATAGACTATTAAGAATATTAAAAAAAAAAATTTTTTAAATATTGAAATAAAACTATAAAATAATTTTTTTAAGCTTATAATTAAACGACTTTGCATTGTTAAGTTTGAGTTAAGTTTAATATTTAAAGATAATGAATATAATTTCAATCTTAACTTTATTTGTTATTTTTGATACATGGCAATGATTTTTGAGATGACAATATTATTGGGCTTCATTTATATATAGAGAAGGATTCAGTCCGATCTGTGAACACACTCCCTGCCCTACCTCCCAACAAACCCACTGATAGTGTAAAACCGTTCAAATCCAAAAGGCTCCTTTAAGGCTATATTCCCTGAAATGACTATCTAGTCGCCTTAGCTCGCTAGCTTTGAGGAAACACCTTTAACGCGTCGACGTAATCATTCAAACATGATTAGCTGATGAGGTGCCTTTTAAGCGAGATTCAATGAAAAATTGTACAAATGATGAATGAATTTGAAATTGAAATACGCGAGGGTAGGACATAATAAACGCTTTATTTACTTTAATCACATTAGGTCATGTACTCTTTCAAATTCTGTGATAATAGTAAAGCAAGTAAGAAAATTATATTCGATCGCGACCGAATCGCAGTTACGCTAAAGAAGACAGAAAAAGTAAAACAACTAAATTTTCATACTCTACAACATGGAGTGGGCGGGGCTGATTTGTTCTATTTTCGAAATAAAAGTTTGTGCCTTATAGGCGTCTAGGCATTGCAATGTTAGGTCAATTCTAAATTTTTTTTGCAAATTTCTAGGCGATATCTTCATTTTCGCTAACTCGTTAGGCAGATGGACAGTTGGACATGCTTAGGTGCATTCCATTTTTGGAACATTGTTTTGCACTTTATGAATGTGTGGCAAAAAAAAATTAAATTTTAGATACACTATAATATTGGGTAGGCCTGGGCAATATCCATTTCTCTATTACGGCGCTATAGCCTCACTCATAGAATGTGTTTTCAAATTTTTGTACATTCTTTCTGCTATAGGTTTTGAGTAATGACAAAAAAAACCAATATTTTGTTTCTTTTGAAAGAGAGAGGTGTCGTCACGTTGCAAAGCACTGTAAGCGCGTCCTTCGACCGATTTGGGCCATTTTCAATGACAAACGTGTATGGAAGAACTTGGAATGTTCCCGCAAAAGTTTGAACTTGAGATTTTCGATTTTGCGAGACATTATACAGAATATATAAAGTGTTTGGGGTCTCTAAAGCTTCCCTCCGGTCGTTGCAAACACTTTGACAAAATGAATATACCCCTCTTTTTTTCGAACGATTTTAATTCTATATAACTAAAGTTGCTTATAATTGAAATAATAAGGTAGCAGTTTAAATGACGAGCAGAATCAGTTCCGGCAATTCCGGTAATCCATTTATAGTGTAGATTAAAATTAAATGGTTTAAGTCTTAATAGACCTCAGCCAAGAGAATAATAATAAAAACAGTTAGTTAGGGCTTTTACTGGTAAACCCAATCGATTGATTCTGTTTGTTTAAGAGAAAGAGAGGGAGAGAGACATACGAAGAATTAGAGAGGTGAGTTTAAGAGCGCGCTTACTGTTTATTTCATGCGGCTTATCTTAGGACAACAACAAATATTTTATTTATGTTTATATGTACGCATACATGTATATATATATACATACATTTATGTGTATAGAGACAATGTCAATGTTTTATAAATATGTGGTAGAGTTCTTCTTCTTAATCATATCTTAAATAGAGGTTTCTAAAAGAATACCGTTTTTAGCGTTTTTAGTTAAATTATTTAAAGTGAGTTGTGAAGGTCATAATATTATAAAGTAAAAAAAAAAGCGGAAAAAATTGTTTTTCCAATTTTTTTGAATAAAAAATGTCGCATGAACTTCAAATCCCGAAATGGGTTAATAAGGAAAACTTTCATAAAATGCTAAGTCAAGCTATTGAAGATTTGGAGGATATAACATTTTTCAGAGCCTCACGTGCTATGGTATCTGGTGAAAATTATTCAACTTTAATATTAAGAGTTCAAATTGAGATGAAATTAAAAGGTAAGCAAAAAAAAAATCGGAAAATTGAATGATTGAACACATGCGTAATTATTGAATGCTCCTTAGATGGTACGATTAAGAAGTCGTCGTTTATGCTCAAATTACCTCATGAAACCAAAGAGATGAAGGAAATATTAGCGTCTTTAAATTTTTTCCACGTGGAAAACGTTACCTATATCGATATAATAAACGAAATGGAAAAAATGTATAAAGATGTTGGCATTGAGGTTAAATTCGGAGCTCAGTGTTATCGACTACCGACAGATAGCCAAGAATTATACGTTCTGTTAGAGGATCTCTGCAGTAGTGGTTTCCGGAATGTGAATCGTTTAAATGGCTTAGATGTGGAACATACCGAATTCGTTTTACGCAAATTGGCTCTATTTCATGCCGCCTCCGCTTGCAGAGTAGCGAAATTAGGTCCATATCCCGAAGCCCTTTTTGTACGCAATTTAGATTTTGAACATACCCGTGAAAGAATTCAAGGCATCTACGGCTTGCTGATAGAAGCATTTATGAATAATTTGCAGAAATATAAAAATGGTGAAAAGTACCGTGAACCATTGGTAAGTGTGAATTCGAACGCGTGAATGCATGCTTGAAGAAGTATAGAGATTTAAATGAGTGAAAAGGAGTACAGAAGTATTTTCTTTTTTTGCTTTTTTTTAATGAGCCCGAACACGATTTTTTTTGTCCGTTACTTTACTAATTGATTAGCAACAATAAGAAGAAGAAAAACGAAAAAGAGGAAGAGGAGGACAAATCAGAAATATAATTTACATAAATCAGTCTCTTCCGTCTCCATCTTCTCCTCCTTCTGTTCTTTGAATTTTTAGCTTTTACTTTTCTGTTAAAATTGTTTAAGGGATTGTCTTCGAAAGAAAGAAAGCGAAACGAAAGTGTAGACGAGCTTAACTGTATAAACCGAAATGAAAAACAATTGAAAAGCAATATCGGAAGTTATTATTTTTATAAAGTACCTAAGAAGTGCATGTGATAACTGCACGAAGTTTGGAAGAAAATGTGAGCTAACGATTTCATGTTTATTCGGCTATGTCGATTAAGCTTTACCTTTACCCTTCACACGATACGCAACAACATTTTGCACAGGGCGTTGAAGAGCATTCTTTAGCGTGTCCCAGAAAAAGTATCGCTTCCTCTTTATCAATATTTCCATCAATATGTAAACTTTATGTACCCTTACGAAGACATCTTTATTTTTACTCTTGAGATTGTTATCATAATTTCGTAGTTTCTATATATTCATGAACTTGAAACATAGACTTAGTAAGATGAACTTATCAATTAACTTACTTTTGAATTTCAGTTAAAATTCTATAACAACGTAACTGAATGGTTTGTTAATGCTTCGGCTATGCACAAAAAATACTTTAATGTACTCAATCATGGTGATATATGGACCAATAATATTTTATTTAAATATAAAGCAGACGGCCATGTAGAAGAAACATATTTTATTGATTATCAAAATTGTAATTATGGCTCACCGGTTCAAGATCTTTACGTTTTGATAATATCATCCGTTCATATTGATGTTAAATTGAAAAAATTTGATCATTTCATCGACTACTATTACAAGAATTTAGTTGAGAATTTAAAATTATTAAAATATCCATTGGTCATAATGAGTCGTAATCAGCTGCAAGAGCAATTGAAAGTATTTGGCGGCTGGTCGTTGCTAACATCTCTATTCATTACGGGTATAGCTTTACTCGAACCAACGGATAAAGCGAAAATTGAGAATGTGATAAGAGATACTCCCGAGGGAATAGAATTCCGTAACTTAATATATAGCAATTCCCGTTATATTCAACACATTGAAGAAATATTACCCTGGATATACGAACGAGGCTTCATGAATCCCGAGTAAGTTGAAATTGCTCACCAAAGTGGAGTCCGCCTTCTAATGATTGCATTTTTTTTAAAATTATTTTCTAGAAATTTATTGGAAGACTTAGGACCAAGCGTATCTTCAAAAATAAAGAAGACAAGCTAAATGCATTGAAGAAGCACAAGGGAAAAGATTTATTTATTTATTAACGCACTTGATATAAGGAAATCTCAATTCGTATTCGAAATAACTACATTGTGCCTTTTTAAAATCTTATGGCCTTAGCATTACTTATATCCTTAGATGCAAGTCAAAATTCTGAAAGGAATTTTTAATATTTCTTAGCAGGGTTTAGTTTTTCCCTTTTCTCATTTATTATTTTTAAATCGTTATTTCTTTTCTATTAACAAGTAACGTCACCTGAAATGCATCTCACGGAATTAAAGTCAATCTATTAACGTAAGTAGCTCGTAATTTTGTGAAACTGGAAGAAAAGTATCGCAAAGTATTAAAGCATATATATCATGAATTGTTTATATTTTGTATTGATTTAAAAGTACTCTCCCTCTCTCTCTCTCTTTCTCTCTCTGTCGCTCTCTCTTTCTTTCTTTCTCTCAACTTGAAGTCTCAAAATAAAGCTTTATTGAACAAATACTTTACACATACTTTACGTAAAATTTTATTTGCTATTTGCTATTAAAGATAGTTATAAAGGGAAATACAAGTCAAAAAAGTCGAAAAAAGACTGTATCTACCTCCATCTCAAAACGAATCCTAGACACTTGACACCATTTAGAAGCGATCCTTTCCATTCATTGGAACAAATGGAACAATTCGAATACCGTATCCCTGAAGTGGATTGTTTATCCTTTTCCTAATTAAGCAAAAAGACATAATAAGTAAATGTAACGCGAAAGTGTTATGAATAACGCAAATGTAGAGAGGAATAAAGAAACATTTTCCAAAGTTTTTCAAAAAATTAACTCCATTCCTTGTCTCTTATAAGCGAATGATGTCACTTTTCAACCTAGATCCGTTCAACTGATCCCAAATACATCCCACATGCATCTTTTGTTGCAAAATTGATCCAAGAAAAAGTACTAACGGAAGGTAAATCGTTTCTAATGAGCTTTCCCCTATATGTCGCAAACGCAATTAATGAAACAACATATCTCGACTATTGTCACTTTTGCCAATTTGGTCGTATTTCTTTAACCATATAAACCCAACACTCCCAATCATAAATTTAATTAATCAGTTATCTACAGCGCTTGACTAACGCAAAGTTCTTTACCAAGGAAGTTGTAAAAATTGAAAATTAAAAGAGAATGACTCAGCAAGCTGACGACATACCCAAATGGATCAAAGTTGAACTCTTTGAAGAAGTTTTCCGTCAAACTCAATCGAAATATCAAAGCACAAGGAATTTTAGAATTTCCCATGCTTTGGCTCCGGGTGAAAATTACACGACTATCATACTCAAGGTCGAAGCGGAAGTTCTGCTTAAAGGTTTATTTACTTTCATTAACTTTACCCCACATTTCTTACATAATTTTTTCTTTGATCATTTTCCTTCAGATGGTTCGACAGACGATCTTAGCTATATGCTAAAAATAGGGCACAGTAGCGAAAACCTCCCGAAAGACATGAAAAAATTCGATGTTTTCGATGTTGAGAACGGTGTGTACAAAGAAATTGCACCAGAATTCGAACGAATGTATGCCAAGGTTGGTAGGAAAATATGCTTTACAGCCAAGTCTTATACGTTGGCAACTCAGGAAGACCATGTTCTTCTGGAAGATTTAGGGCGATATGGTTTCAAAAATGTCAAAAGGCAAGATTGTTTGGACTTAGAGCATTTGAAAAGTGCTTTAGAGAAGCTTGCCCAATGGCACGCTGCTTCTGCGGTGATGGTTGAACAAAAGGGTATATTTGATATGAAATATCAGAGAGGTATGTTGAACGAGGATGGTAAAGTTTTGCTACAGAATATGTTTGATGATACCGGACGATATCTTTTGAAAAACGTAACAAAATTAGAAGGTCATGAAGAATATTACGAAGAAGTGGTAAAATCGAATAATTTGCTTAAGAACATCTATCAGATAATTAGTTTTGTTGTTTTTCAGCGAACATTCTTTTCGAAATTTACCGACATTTTCTTTGAAAATACTCGGGTCGATCCTAAGGAATTCAATGTTTTAAATCATGGCGATTATTGGTCGAACAATATCATGTTTCAATACGGACCGGATGGCAGTATTAAAGCCACTTTGCCTGTTGATTTTCAAGGTCCACGCTACGGTAGTCCCGCTCAGGACTTGCTGTATTTGATATTTTCATCAGCCAGATTGAATATAAAAATTTCGAAGTTCGATTATCTTATGAAATTTTATCATCAGAGGCTAATTGAAAATCTAATCATATTAAACTATTGCCAACCTTTACCTACTTTGAGGGAGTTGCATCAAATGCTGATCAAATATGGTTTATGGGGTAAATTTTAACTAAAATTAGTAGATTTAGTTTGTTTAGTAAGTGCGTGTTTTTTGTCTGCAGCTATGGTGCCTACAGCGGTTACTTTGCCCATAATCTTATGTCAGCCGTCCGATAAGGCTTCGCTTGATAATCTTATCGGTCATACAGATAATAGTCAAGAATTTAAAAATTTATTGTATTCGAATACTCTTTATTTGAATCATTTAAAATTAATCCTACCCTGGTTACTATATCGGGGAGCTCTTAACTATTAAATGAAAAGTGATAGAAGGAAAATAAAACTCTCGCTTTTTTTTTTTTTGGTCTCAGCTAAACAAGACAAAACCTAAAAAAGTTCTTAGGATATAATAAATTATTATAGATATCCGTTACATTTTCAATAAGGAAATTAAGAATACCGGAGAATTTGTCATAGGAAAAAAAAAATGTTTCGCGCACTATTTTGATAATTATTGGCATTTGAATCTATTAACCAATGTTCCTGAGAATTATTTGCATCAGATTTTAACTCAGCATTATTAGCACAAAAAATTATTGCAATGCTCTTTACTTAGATCTTACAGATCTAGTTCGGCTGCGTTTCAATTTGGTTCGTTGAAGAGGTGATGTAAAAATGAGCAAATTTCCATCATTTCCATTAAGGCAAACGACTAACCGAAGAGATTGTATGGCTTTGATCCCTCTGGTCGACATTTTTTTAAAAATCTAGCATTTTCTTCTCGTTATAGCAGTATTAATATTTTCCTAAAGCCAAAGAGCATTTGATTTCAGATCGTGCAAGTCGATTGATGATATCGCTGATCTTATCTTACGCGACTGAGACTTTTATTGCAAATATACAAAGAGCGTTTGTTCGCCTTACGGGGGGCGAAGGTTTTAGGTTCAAATGATTCGTGTAAAAGTGCTTCGGAAAGATACGCGAAACGGAAACGTGAAATGTATGCTTTTAATAAAACGGTTTAAGGTTTGTTAAATTACTACTAAGGCTAAGGAACAGGCAAAGGCAGACGGACAGACGTGTTTGGAGATTATGTACATGCAAGCTTGTTCATATCTGCCGCATATGTGTCTTTTAAATGTCACGCACATATGTATACATGTGCATGTTTATGCACGCGACGGTGATTTTGGGACCATTTTTGCGCTCAACACTTGGATGGCCTTGAGAAACATGTATTTGTTCTTTTTTTCATATAGTTCCAAACTCAATGCAAATCTGAAGAAATTTCAGGTTAGCAAGTCTACCGCAATCCCACGTCGATCGCTTGCTGATAACATATATGTAAACATTATTAGGTCGGTGATGACGCTTTTCGACTGCGAGCAATGAAAGGACAAGATTAATATACATTTGATGTGCCGTTCAATCCCGGGTGGGTATGTATATAAAAGCATCTCAACTTCCAACTACTTTTCAACATAACCTATTCCAAAACTGATACATGCTCTTCTTCTTCATATTTTATGCTAGCTTGTAAATTTTCACGCGAAAACCTGGTAGGCTTCCACGTATAGGAATATTATAAAAAAGAGAAAGTAAATCAATCGCCTTCGCAGTTCGTCGAGCATCCCAAGTGAATAAGGAAAATAAAGTTTAAATTACCAGAGGCCGGCGTAAGTAATGTGAAGTGAAGAGAAACAAACGACTTAGTTCTGTCAAAAAAGGACCTGGTGTGATATGTATAGTCCTTCTTTTCGTTTAACCCTTGCGCACTCCCAAATTATTGTATTTAAAAGGAAAGAGAAACGTTTAATAACACATAGCAGAGGAAAGGGTTAACAAAACATAAATGCCTTCAATAGTCTCTCTAGTATTTATAGAGAAACAACAAAACAACATTTGACGCATTCTACTATATCTTGCGAAATTATCTTAGAGAAGTAAATTTTAATGAAACTTGTTAAACTTTTAGAAATTATTCATTTTATCGATTGACGCTTGCTTACATTATGAGAACGGGTTGGCACTCACGTGTTTGGATAAATATTTATTTTATGCACTTATTTACAACGGCAGAGATGTGGACAGCAAAGCGTTTTGAGTTCGAAAGCTCGAGCCGGAGGTTAGGGTAACAGAATTAATTAAAGTTCTCTTCTCCGTTGATTCTCTACTGAATCATAGATGAAAATTATTTAGCTTATATTGAGAATGGCATCGTCGAACGTTTCTCAATTTTTCTAAAGGTAAAAAAGGAAGATCTCTACAAGAACGCCCGCCAATCTTGGATTCGTCATTGAATTTTTAAAAATGTCACTGTCAAAACGCTGCATCTTAATGTAAAGATGTTTTTGGATATTAATGTGAAAATCAAGCAAAATATGCACAATGTTTGTTTGTTTGTTTGTTCGTGTTTTTTTCTTTGTTTTAAAAATCGGAAGAGAAATGCATTCTATGAAGAATGCACTTGGCATTGCTAGACTTTTGAATAGCGATATCAGTATCTATTAAGCTAACAGTGAATGCAATTCGTTTGCTTATCGCATTCATAACGCAGACAAGGTCTATTAAAGCTTTTCTACGCTAATTGTGGTTACAGTCAATACTTGAATATTAATTGTTTTATAAAGAATTTTAGTGCAATTATTCTCGTCAACTGCTATATAGAGAATTAATATCGAGGATAAAATGGCATCAAATGACGCAATTGTCGAACGTTCAATACCTAAATGGATAAAAGCCGAACTATTCGAATCCGTTTTCAAAGAGGTCATAAACGATTATCGGCAAGTTAAAGTATTCGAAGTGAAGGAGGCGTTGACGCCGGGAGAAAACTACGCCACAATTATGTTGAGAATACACGCAGAAATCGAATTAATTGGTAAACGATATCTGGCAACGTTTGATAGAAATAAGATTTACTTTCCTATTCCTATTTTCATTTCTGTTTTTTTTTTTTTTTTTTTTTTTGGGTTCAGACGGTTCTATAAAACCTTGGAATTTTATGATGAAGACGGCTCACGATAGTGAAATGTTGCAAGAGATGATGCAACGTTTTGACCTATTCGACGTCGAAACTGATATGTATCGTCTTATAATACCGGAATTGGAGCAAATGTATACCCAGGTGGGTGTTAATGTCAAATTTAGTTCCAAATTTTATAGATTACCTGATATCGATGAACCGTACATTTTGTTGGAAGACTTAAAATGTCGAGGTTTCAAAAATGCAAATCGTCTGGAAGGTTTAGATATCAATCATACTAAGCATGTTCTGCATAAATTAGCTCAGTGGCATGCCGCCTCCGCTACCCGAGTCGCGGTTAAGGGCCCATACAATGAAAGATATATGAAGGGCTATTTTAAACCTGAAGGATACGATGCTATGAAATCTATGTTTGCCAACCTAACAAAATATTTCATGTCGAGTGTGCCTTCGTATAATGATCACGAAGAGTACTATGAGGATCTGTGTAAAATTGAAAAAGTGCTAGTGGACGAACTATTTAAAGCGAGTGAAGTTAATGAGAACGATTTCAATGCCTTAAATCACGGCGACGCTTGGTGCAACAACATTATGTTTCAATCCGATGACAATGATAATGTACTTGAAACTTACTTGGTAGACTATCAATTACCAAAATACGGTAACATAGCTCAGGATCTGTATTACTTGCTTTTATCCTCAACGAAATACGAAATCAAATTGAAAGAATTCGATTATCTGATATCCTATTATCATCAAAATTTGGTAAAGCATTTGCAATTGTTGAATTATCCGCATAAACTGCCTACGCTGAAAGGCATCCATATGCAACTCTTAAAATGCAGTATATGGGGTAAGGGAAGATATTCGCTTTTTTCTTATTTCGCTGTGTGGCGGAATCTATTGAAAAACTGCTTCTACCTTACATCTTTTAGGCGTTACCACCACTTGTGGGATAATGGCTGCGGTGCTATTAGATCCTATTGAAAATGCAAATTTAGATAATTTCCTAAGCGAGAATGATGTTGCAGCCGCCTTTAAGATGCAAATGTTTAGCAATCCACGTTACCGTAAACACGCCGAGACCCTATTACCTTGGCTGTATTATCGTGGAGCTTTAGAAGTATCAGCAGATCAGTAATCTTAAATTTTAAAACAGGCTTTCTATTATAACCCTCTTCAAAAGTATTTAATTTGTGTTTACCGTAATATGAACAAAATATGTTTTCAAGTTAAAATACAGTATTTGTCCTAACTATGGGCGTAAAAAGTTAAAATCAAAAAGTTTTTTCTTTCCTCATAACTGTGGGGGGCTCGTAAAAACGAAAACAAACACAAAAGGTAACTAAACTAAACGCTTGTGCGTCAAATCTTGAACCTTGGTGAAAATACTTTACTACTAAATACTAGAACTTGGTCTAACTATTTCAATCCCTTCCGTTTTCCTTGCCTTTTATTTTTCAAGCGTCAATTATTATTCAAAACATATTACGTAAAGAAAGAGCTTCGTAGCGTTTCTCCCTAAGAACGTTATTCTTTTCTTTTTAAATATAAATGGTTAAGAAAGGGAAAACAATTTCAATGAACTTTGTTAAATCAATAGACGCCGATCGATAAGCTTCTGCTATTTCTCTGATGAACACCTACGAGTTCTGGGCGAGAAAATCAGCTAAATGATTTTAAAAGGCCTTGCTTGAAGTCTACTGTACATTATTAAGAATGTTCTGCAAATCGAGGCTCATCCCTGGATGCATTAAAACTTTCCGGATAACTCTGGGATTTCGATCTTTGCCGACTCATTAAAGACATATGCAGTCAGGCATTGCCATGTCGTGAATAGATCAAGTTTTTGCTATTGATTGACTCTGATTACTGTTGTTTGTGTTGCATTACTTGCACGACTTGTCGGGATGGTGCCGACTTTCCCATCAGTTGCGAGCAGCTCATTATTCGCGATTCTCTTCTCACATCGCCAAACACAAAACATTACTTTTTTACAGCTCCAGCCTTTTTGGTTCGTGATTTTTTTGCGCTTAAGTGAACCACTTTTCATCGTCGGTTATCAATCGCTATTTCCTAAATGTTGTAGACGGATGTTCGACTCGTTAAATTTTTCGCTCTTAATTCATATAATCAATCAATATCGAACTGCCTTTGCGTACAGACTTGTGCAAATAGATTAAAGTTGATTTTTGGTCAATGCTAGGTTCCGCAGCGATTTTGCTAACTGAATGCGGTGTGTCGGCGGTCTTTCTTGATTTTTTAAGCAATTCGATCTAGATGAGTCTTTCAAGAGTGGAAATTTCCGATTTTGAAAAAAGTGTTTCCCTCATAAACACAAAGAAGATTGTCACAAGCCTGCGAAGCATGAAAACCCTGGCCGAAGGGAAATTGTAAATTATCCATGGCTTGTCGCCTATTAAAGGTGCCTCGATATGGCTTGATTGAGGATTAGGATTAACAAAGTTATACGACTGTGAAACCAACCATTAAGCAAAACGCCACGAAGTTTTTTCTTTACTTAACGTTCTACACATTTACATGAATGTTTACCGCTATTGTTAGTTCAATTCATAAACTTTTTTCCTGTTTTTTCTTTTTAATTTTTATATTCGGTCTGTAATTAATGTCACGCTAGACTCTAAATTAGTTCCGAGTAGAAATAACAGAAACAAAAACAAAAAAATTGAAATGTCATTAAAATGTAATTGACATTGAATGCTAAATTATATGTAACCAAAGATGACGAACAGAATGCGCATGCAAATCGTTGAGAGTGAACTTTAAACGTTCGATCGAAACCATTTTTACTTTGGAATTCTCGGGGATCTTTACAAATGATGTCATCTATGCTCTATATGATGGAGATTTATTGCTAGCGGTAAGTTATCGATGACATGATAATAATAATAACCTAGATAGCTGTTCACTTTGAATCCGATGATAAATTAATTAATTCGGTCTTTCTTCTTCTTTCAAATTTTACTACTGCTAACAGAATACGGATGAACTATCGGCTGGAACATGAGATCTAAGTCGACTTAAACTCTTATCCTGATCTCAAATAAATATAATTTTAGACGCTCTAACCGGATGGATTATATTAGGTTGCTCTAAAGCAGAAGCTTTTTATAGACGAAATTAAATCTTAAAAACGTGTTGCTTAATATATAATTGAAGTACATCACGAATATGTAAATACAGCATAAAGTAGGTAAATTTGCTTTGGCTTTTGATTATAATAAATATAAATTCTTTCCAGCGGCTTTTATGCGCGTGGGTATAATAAGATCTCATAGATAGTGTAACGTTATATCGTAATTAATGTGTATTTAGTTGAGTATTGTGTATATTTAGGCACAAGTACAATTTAACGCAATAACTAATACACCCGTCTCTGCTAATGACATCACACAATATTCAGGGTAATGCGATACGATTGCAAGTCATTGCATTTTATTTAAGTTTCAAGCAGTAAGCAACTTTGTCACATCAGTTTAGTATAACGAAACACGATGTCTGTCGAGAAATTTTCAAGTGTGCAACGAGTGGTCGTTATCCCAATCCCAACCCCAATTCGACCCGATCCATTTTCAATAGAGTTCGCCTCTGCGACTAAACAAGTCTCTGGTCCGAATTTTATCAAAATATTTCAAAAATTTGCGATTTGCAGAGAGCTTGGTACATACTTGATTAAATCGATTCATGTAATGTTTCCGTATCGGTCCGCCCTTAATGAAAGCCCTTCCAGCTGTTAATGCACCCTATTCTAGAGTATGAAAACGTACACAGTTTATTATTGATTTCTTCTCATCCATCCATAGGCGTACCTTAGAAAAGCACGAAAACAACCCCTTTGCAAAGTCTCCGCCCCTTTAATTTAGAGCCATCTATATGTGTAGTTCATCTTGTAATGCAACACACACGAATGTTTCTCTTCTTTTTCGAAAGAATTGCTAAAGAACTTGCGGAGCAAAAACATCAAATACATATACTTTACACTTTATGATTATGAACTAAATGAGAAAAAGTAACAAAGCAGCAGCGAGCATCTCTGTGTTAAACGAGAAAAAGTAGCAAAGAACATCCTAATGATTAGGAATGCGTTCTTAACTTTGTTTACTTTTACTTATTATATGCGTAGTGCACAGCAGCAAGCAGTTGCCTCCGTGGCGCAATCGGCTAGCGCGTTCGGCTGTTAACCGAAAGGTTGGTGGTTCGAGCCCACCCGGGGGCGCATGTTTTTTTTTTATTATTCTTATATTCAATTATCTTCTACAACAACGAATTCTATGCTTACACATTTGCTTCTTTATAACTTCAGAGCGGGCTTAACTTTTTCTCTTAAATTATTATATATTAGTTTTTCTAAAAAAATCCACTTGTGCCTACACGTACAGAGGATATATCCTATAAATGAATTCAACTCAATTTTCTTCTAAATAAGTAAATTAATACATTTTTGTTGGATTTTAAAAAAACTAGCGCTTGATGGATTTCGGTCTTTTCAGTTTATGTTCGCCGGTAGCTTAAACAAATCGATATCGAACCTATCTTACAATTGTCACTGATCACTGCGCTGGTTTGCAATTAAAGTCGCTATGCTGTGCTTTGGTATCTGCGTAGATAGTTCTGCTACAGACTATTTTAGAGTATAACTATTTTACTTACAAATTATAAGCAACTTAGACTCAAGAGAAGAGCAAGAGAGTGCTTAGGCTAGCACAACTTTCGTCTCTTTTCAAGTGCTACAGCTTCATCTGCTTATCAGCAAGTGAGCGGATTGAAGCATGAAGCAACGACAGCAAGTATCTAGTTTGCATTCATCTTTATCTCTTTATTAAATATGGATCTAGCGAGATCATCGTTTTGATTACACCGTCTTAAGCATGAACATTAAGAGAACTTTCGAAGTAAATTGAAAAGAGGATTTTTAAAAATCATTAGGCAAACCAATCTTCCAATTCCTATCCGATTTTTGCGGGAACATTTACGAACTTGAGAAATCCACTTACTAATGGGCAAGCAATGGGACATAACTAAACCGTTCCGTCTTTACCTCGACGATGGTCTCAGAAAAACAAAGTCAAAGTGATTCGTCATGGCCTGCACTCCTACTGAGCTACGTGCTGTTTTCTTATTAAAAAAAACTCTCAACATTCATATGAGGTTTCATCATAATTCCTTCATTCGTATTTGTTTAACTCTTGCGTGCGTATATTTTTCAAGATCAAGGCCCATTAACAGACAAAACCACTTTATTCAATGAAATGAATAAATTTTTCTCCAATATGGAGATCTATTTATGTTTACAACAATAATAACTCGCGTTTACGTGTTTGAGTTGCTTAACAAGTGTTGACCTCATTCACATAAACACATGATGATCACTATTGTAGAACGTGACACGAGACTTTTTCATATATATTTCATTTATCTTGTTTTCTGCTATGTGTGCATTATTCCCAATTTTATGCATCCGACATAAGAAGAAGAATAAGTGGGATTACTAAAAGAAAAAAGTATAGCACAGCTAATAGATGTCGAAGAGTACACCATAGCGATAGTGTAGTAGGCACTGAATCCGAAAAGAAAACGAAAAACAGAAAAATAAATCAATTAAACACGAACTGTGACAGCAGCATGCTAAGGCGAAAGTAAACAGAATGAAAACTGGTGGACTTTGCTTCCGTTCGCTTTATAAGAGGAAGGATATTAAACTAACTCTTTTCCCGTTGCAGATATGTATACATAGGCGAACGCCAGAAGATTGTTTTCGCGTATATCACACACGAATATGTTAAGGATGTACCGAATATAATTACTTGCAGTGTATGCAGTGATGATGCATTGAAAATTTCTACACTTGATATTTGCCCGATATTTCAATTTGAATTTCAGTCTAAGATGTCTGCATTTGTCTTAGGCCTTCTCCAAAACTTTGATTACTACTTTATAGAAGGCTCAAGGGTCTCTTCTTTAGATCAAATTTTACAACATTGCGCGAGAACTCGCCGTCGCCCGGCAGCTGTAGCCTTCTGCAAGGAGCAAGAATCCACCATTGCTTGAGAGTTGTGGCTCTCTAAGAAGTCCATGAATTCCAGAGTTATATCCCTCTAGGACATAGAATAATCGACCATTACTTGGATACGAAGGCAGACTACACGTGCCTACGCCTAAGTATATATGTGTCACGCTAGTACATGGTCTTGCTCGACAAGCAAACGGTCGAGTAAGAAAGCAATCTGCACATACGTATACCTTGGGTAATATTTAGACAACATTTGCACACGAGCATACACTATATGCACATTTTTCTACTGAAGCGAAAAACCATTCTTTAAATTTCTTTGCCGCCTAGCCTGACTAGCAATCATTTTTCACCTATGTAATGGAAGCAGGCTATAGTTACTCGTTCCCTATTGATGCCAATGCAAGAAGGTTAGCACAATAAGAGAGTAAAACATTTAATGGCGTCATAGTGCAATTGTGAGTCAAGGTTACTTCTCAGATTTCCTTAATTCCTGAAACTAGGCAGAAAAAGACATATGCACTGATAGACGGACTGACTAATTTCGCTTTTCTTGCTTCAAAAGTATGTGTACATTATGAAGTCTTGTATTGCAAATATGTTCCCAACTCATTATGCCCCTGTAGGGATATACAAATTGCTCGGTTTAAAGTTGTTGAGACCTATTAATGTGTACATACATCATTTAACTTAACATATACAAGTGTTAATCAAATTCATTTTTAACACGTTCTGGCATTAATACGAACTGTTTGATTATTGCGTTCAAATTTCTCATAAGTTGATGTCGTTGTCAAAAAAAAAAAAAGCTCAAGTAAATGAGGAAACCTATGCGTAGCGATTGAAGGCACATTCCGGATATATTTGAATAAAAAAGCGTTATTGTCATAAATAATTAAATCATATCATAAACAATCGCTACAATAGTCCATCAGCCTAGATTAAGTTGTGGGAACAATTTCTGCTATTATATAAGCAATTTCAACATAGACATCTTTCATCAATTGGCTAGTTTATCAAAGGAAAAGTTTCTAGGTTTGGAATAAAAAACTCTCCCCGTAATGGAGCGGTTTAGGTTAGGCACTGTTTGTATATAAGTAAAGAGAAACAGAACTTATTACCACATATTGTTAAATTTAATTCACAAAGATTATCACGCACACTCTCCATTCTGTTGTTGTCGCTTTTTTACAACTGTTTTAATGAGAGCATATTGACTTTATCGCATGACTTGTTACAACTTGAAATAGACGACAAACACTTTCACCGCAATATCTTAACGCTGATATCATTCTTTTTTATCATCAGATCCTAAACCAGGTACGGTGACAATCAGAAAGACTTGGGACAGACCGAGCTAGCAGTTTGTCTGTCCGTACGTCTTGTCAGATTTCGCGACAACTCTCCATACAACGCCTTGTTCTGGAAAGTCTTCATCCAAATAACTAAAAGTAGCGTAAGGAGTTTAACAGTGGACTGTGGTTAGCATCATGTGTTGTTTTCAATTGTTCTTTTTTTATTACTATTATTTTATTTCAGGTTATATGGTTCAAAGCACCCAAAAATGCATGAAATTCATTAAATCATAAAGCTTCAAATAAATTCATTCAAACTCAATTTAATTTGCAAAAAAACTAATGACAATAAATAACAAAAAAATATAATATTCATTCCGACTTGGGATTAGATAACGTAAAGTTAATTAATAATATGTAGCTAATGAATAGTAAGAAAGTAGCACTTGAATCTAGGAACGAGTACCTAGTAAATTAGTTTGAAAATTGAAATGTAATTTAAAAATGCCATAAATTCATTACTAAAATACATCAGTATACTAAACGATCAATCCTTTCGACATTCACTTCAAATATTGGAATAACAAATTTGCCCAAAAATTCAACTTAACCTAAAAATGTACTCAGATATTTGTACTTCGGACCTTACGTAATGGATAACAAAGATTCGTATTCTATCTAATAAAAAGTCTTGAATAAGCTTTTTACGCTTATTACTCTCACTTGTTCACTCGCTAGCGTCCAAGACTTTAGATCAATTTCAGTAGTTGTTTGCTACCGAGACGAGCATCAGTATTGCTTAAAAGTATTTACAACAGCATTTCTTTCTCCGTTTCTGTTGCTGTATTATTTATCAAAGTACGTTTTGTTTTTGTAATTTTTAATAAATAAAAACAATTGATAAATAAAATCATAAATAAAGAATTACACGATTGGTGATAAAATATAACATTTTTGTGGTCTTATCAAAATCAAAAATAAAGACGCCTACGAAATCAAGAATACTTTCATTAACCAAGTTAACCAATTTATTTTAAAGCAGAAAAGGAAGAAGAAGATAATAAAGGTTAATAGAAAGAAAAAAAAAATTTATGCATATATATATATATATATATGTATACATCGAATGGCTGGATATTTCAATCGGCAAATTACTTGTTAAGTGAAACAGTTTTATTCGCTTAAGGGCATTTGCCAGCCGCCGTCTATTGTAAGATTATTACGTCAGCGTTGTAAGAAGGGGGCTTGGTTACTTTGTGATCCTGATTACAATTCCAACCCCTAAAAAGAACAAATGTTTCTTTTTGAAAGTCTTAAAGCGAGCTCGAAAGCGAGCTTTACGGTTTTCTGTCATGTTTTCCGAATTTTATAAAGCACCATACTCAACTTTCGTTATACTAATTAAGTGAAAATACAGCTCTACGAAAACTAATTAAAAAAAGCAAAAACACCGCAGCATAGACACTCCCTACAACTGCCCATATAACGATTTTTCATAATAAGGCGTTACAGGAGAAGTGGTTGGAAAACTATTCCAATCTGAGGAATTTTCAATAGCGTTTGTCCTCGGGCCAAAGATGGCCAATGCAACTAATTACATCAAAATATTTCGAAAAGGATGAGCACAAGAGCGTATACATAGACAAGTCAGATGGACAGACAGACAGGCAGCGAAACCTAGATCGATTTAGAAAGTGATTGTGAACTGATCGGTATAATCAAAGGTTCGTTTATCTCCAAGTTCTGGATTTTCTATACATGCTCCCCGTGTATGGCCAAGGGTGACAGGGAATGCAATAAATAGATAAAATTTTTAGGTCGCAAAATCTGTTTTATTATTTTTTTATTCAGTAAAGCAAACTAACACAAAAGTTCTCCATTTTTTTTTTCTCCTAATCAATAATTAATTAATTAATATTCCAAAGCCCCGCGATACAGTAACCAGGGTAGGATTAATTTTAGGTGCTTTAGAAAAAGTTCATTCGAATACAATAAATTTTTGAATTCTTGACTATTATCTGTTAGGCCGACAAGACTATCAAGCGAAGCCTTCTCCGAAGGTTCGCATAAAACTATGGGTAGAGTAACCGCTACAGGCACCATGGCTGCAAAAAAAAGAAAGAAAAAACAGTGCGATCTTGTATCCAAAGATTTGCCTTCAAACTTACCCCATAAACCGTATTTGATAAGCGTTTGGTGCAATTCCCTTAAAGTAGGTAAAGGCTGGGAATAATTTAATATTATCAGATTTTCTATTAAATTCTGATGATAAAATTTTATAAGATAATCAAACTTGGAAATTTTTATATCCAATCTGGCTGATGAAAATATCAAATACATTAAATCCTGTGCGGGACTGCCATACCGGGTGATTTGAAAATCAACAGGAAGAGTGGCTTTAATACTACCATCCGGTGCATATTGAAACATGATATTGTTCGACCAATAATCGCCATGATTTAAAACATTAAATTCCTTAGGATCGACACGAGCATTTTCAAAGAAAATTTCGGTAAATTTCGAAAAGAATGTTTGCTGAAAAACAAGAAAAATAATTATCTGATAGATCTTCTTAAGCAAATTATTCGATTTTACCACTTCTTCGTAATATTCTTCATGACCTTCTAATTTTGTTACGTTTTTCAAAAGATATCGCCCGGAATCATCTAACATAGTTCTAAGCAATTCTTTGCCACCCTCGTTCAACATGCCTCTCTGATATTTCATATCGAAGATACCCTTTTGTTGAACCATTACCGCAGAAGCAGCATGCCATTGGGCAAGTTTCTCTAAAGCATTTTTCAAATGCTCTAAGTCCAAACAATCTTGTCTTTTGACATTTTTGAAACCATATCGTCCTAAATCTTCCAGAAGAACATGCTCTTCCTGAGTTGCCAACGTATAAGACTTGGCTGTAAAGCATACTTTCCTACCAACCTTGGCATACATACGTTCGAATTCTGGTGCAATTTCTTTGTACATACCGTTCTCAACTTCGAACACATTGAAATGTTTAAAATGTTCGGGAAGATGTTCCCTGCTGTGGCTTATTTTCAGCATATAACTAAGATCGTCTATTGAACCATCTGAAAGAAAATGATCAAACGAATATATATATATATATAAGAATATAGAGTACGATTATTGAAAGTAAGGCAACCTTTAAGCATGACTTCTGCTTCGACTTTAAGCATTACAGTTGCATAATTTTCGCCCGGAGCCAAAGCGTGGTAGACTTTAAAGTTTTTTGTACTTTGATACTTTGGCTGAGTTTGGCGAAAAATTTCTTCAAAGAGTTCAACTTTGATCCATTTGGGTATAACGTTGCTGTGACGAGACATTTTTTTCTAAATTAGAATTTCCGTAAAATGGTAGATAAACAATCTCACATTCATGAGATTTAATAGAGACTAAAAATTAAGTAAAGTCATAATGTAAGTAAAAGTTGCAGTGAATTTTTATATTCACCCACCGAACTTTGCGGTATGTTCGTTGTATCATCTCATTTCTGACCTACACAAATATGCAATGAGGATAATAAGTTCATATGTGCATCATCGTTTGTTGTCGGTTTAGGATTGTCTGAAATTGAAATTAAATTAAACGATCACTCGCCTTTCTTCGAGTACATGTGCTTGTGAGTTGAATTACTCCGCTTTTTGTATGATAAATAAGAAGCTGCGACAAATTAATATTTTTAGCAATCAATCGAGGCTTTTAGTAAACATCCATTGAATGTTTATTCCTCAAGCTTGCAGCTGCCCCAAGCAATTGCCCTAAGGCGACAGTTACAGACATTAGTTGTGACGTTAGCCAAGCAATATTTCTAAAATAGGTTTGGCAGATAAATTCAACTCAAAATGCGTTTACTGGAGAACAAAATTTATTTATTTACGACTGTTATGACTGACAATAAATATTTAAATTAAAGCAGTTGTTGTAGTAGCGCATTTTCTGAGACGAACGTTGAATAAATTATTCATGAATTAATAACTTGTGCACGGGTGTCTGTAATAACTAAATAACAAATTGTAAAAATAGTTTCATACACTTGAGAACATACACATATGTGTATAGATGCTATTGAGAAACAACTTGAACATATATCTATATTAAGTGAGCCATAAGAAAAATAACAATTATAACGTAAGTATTCGATTTGTATTCCACGAAACGTCGAATTCGAACAATTATGGTTACAGATATTACGCGCAATAAACGCTACTGATCGCTTTGATTCCCTTTGTAACATAGGAAATCTTGTGACAGATGGAAGAAATCTTATTGACTATATGTACCTTTTCTTTTAAGGCTTAACTTGGTTTTATCTATGACCCTTTGTCAAATAATTAATGACTTCTCCATATAAGAGTACTGCCCCACTAAGCTTTAGCCAAATAACGCAGGATTGTACGCAACATAGTTTCTGTAAGAGCTGCTAAACAAGTCAACCGTTAGGAGCATTCCGAAGGAAAGTGCCGCGGAATCGTAACGGGTGACGAAAAGTCGTCGAAACTTGTTGGATATCAAATATGTACACAACAAGATAGACAAGCTGTTAACAGCGTATAGTTGCAAAATCGAGCATCGATTACTAACCGCTATGTTGGCCAATTGTTCTCTATCCCTCTACTATTCTCTGCGCTGCATTCACTAGACATAACTCTTTTTGATTAGAATTGGTTCCAATCGACAGTTTATTGTCTGTCCGTACAGAAAATCGATTCTTTTGACGATGACCACACAAAAAAAAAAACAAGAAAATGATTGCTTAGTCATATTTAGTCACAAACACGAGAGAATACAATGCTTAGCCTCGAGAAAAATAAATATTTTAAAACGTTTCCTAGAAGCGCCGGCTTAAAGTAAGTGAGTTTTCTGAAAAAGACAACGTCGTCCGTTAAATAAAGAAAAAAAAAATCCCACGGATTGATTTAAACACACATACATACATTTCGCTTTACATTATAGACAATGCTTTGAATGAAATATCTTTTATAAGCGCTATCTTGAAATAAGCGCTTTTTTCGTGTGCAGATAAGGTCCTTTCATTTAAACGCCGGCTACACATATCGTTGATCAGCACAAGATTCTCAACGTCTCCACAACGCTTTCACTTAATAAAGCCCTGCCCAATCAGATCTATTATATTGACATCAGCAATTGTTTGCTCTCTTCACTTAACCTTCTTACCTCAAAATCAAGATTCAATATTAAAGTACAATTTGAAGAGTTTTGTGAGACCAACTGAACGGAAATGCAAGATGAAATCGTTTCGATGAACATTTTCAAAAGTACGCTTCCATCCTCCATTAACTGGGCTTCATGAGGTCCGTTGGATTCCCTCTCCTATAGAAAATGAAAACTCCTATTACACTTATGATAAAGTTGAAAACTTGGACAAATGTGACAAACAATCTGAATTATAAAACTAATCCAATCTCTTTTAAAAAGATGAGCGGAGAGCAACCTGCAAGTCCGAATGAATGCTTGAAGATACCTGCCTGGATAACAGAGGAATATTTTATAGACATTCTAGAGAAAGATGTACCTGACTTTGAAAGTATTAGGCAATTTACGCCTATAGCGGCCACAGCGCCGGGTGAAAACTATACTTCTATAATGGTTCGTGTAATCATCGATGTGGAGATTAAAGGTATTTTCTTTTACTTCATTTATATTTTGATTTACGCAAATTTATTAATCGCTTTTGCTCATCAGATAAGCAAATGCAACGAGTCTCTTATATTGTGAAAACCGATTTAGAGACGAGCGAGGCCAGAGCTGTGATAAATTCGATGAATTTTTTTCCGAAAGAGAGACGAATGTACGCTTCTTATCTGCCAAAGTTTGAGCAACTTTATCGCGATATTGTCGGGCTGGAAGTGCAATTTGCTCCGCGATGTATGCGTATAGAAGAGACTCCGGAACGTATCACTTTAGTTATGGAGGATTTAAAATGTAAAAATTTCAAAAATATCGATCGTTTAAACGGTTTCGATATGTCACACGTAACAGCTGTTTTAAGAAAACTGGCGGAATTTCATGCTGCTTCAGCGGTTTATGAAGACCGTAACGGTCCTTATGAATCTTTGTACTACGATAGCTTCTTTAATGAAACGAATCGTTCAAAATTCAATGAAATGTATTCATTACGTAAAGATATATTTAGAAAAGCTATGCTTGAATGGGATCTGGAAGATGTGGAGAAATATTTATCAAAGTTTCCCGAGGCTGACGAATTCTATGAAGAAAATGTACGTATAAATCAGGTCGATCCTTCCGAATTCAATGTCCTTAATCATGGCGATTGCTGGTCAAACAATATTATGTTCACTTATAATCAAAATAATGACATTGAAGAAGTAATTTTTGTTGATTTTCAAATCAGTAAATGGGGATCACCCGCCCAAGATCTATGGTATTTGATAACAAATTCGGTTGCTTTAGATATAAAAGTCAAAGAATTCGATCATATCATACAAATCTATCATCAACATTTACTTAAATGCTTACAACTCCTGAAGTATGCGAAAAAAATGCCGACATTAAAAGAATTGCATATAACAATGTTGAAGTACGGATATTGGGGTAAGTTCTCACTGTTTTTTTTTTTTTTTTTTTGCACAATACCTGAAAAGAAAAAATCTTTCAAATACTTTTTTCTTTCCCTCCATCGTTGTAAAAAGGAGTATTCACCGCTAATATTATAACTCCTGCTGTATTATTGCCTTCCGACAAGGACGCCAATATGGATAGTATGTTAAAACCTGGTCCCGAGGGTGATCAATTTCGTTTCAAGGCATTTACAAGCCCATTCTACAAACAAGCCATGCGTCAACTCTATCCATTCCTCTACAATAAAGGAATCTTTGATATAACTCGAAGCTCTCAATATGAATAAAAACTTTATTTATTTTAAACTTTATTTATGAAATTGATTTATTTATTGTAAATGTGTGTATTAGCTTTAATCACTTAGCAAAGAGAAATACGTGCAAATAAATGTATTCGAGCGAAAAGACGATAAATGGTCTTTAAGTTAAGTTAATTCACGAAATGTCTCACTGGTGTGTGCCTATTTCCCAGTTTAGATAGACCGTAAATGATGCCAGCCAGAAAGTGCATGAAGGTACGCACTTATTGTATGGAAAGAAGTAAAAGCACTATATACCATTAAATAGCCTAAACTGCTTCGTTTAATACTGTCACTCATATTACGACACTTGAACTTAAGGCTCCACATGGCGTGTGATCGAAAATGTGTTCTGATCTGAATAATTTTCCAGAGGTTGCGTCCTTGAATCAAAACATATCGGTGTAGGAAATTTCTCTTCAAAATATCTCATGCATTGCGCCCTGTTGGTTGAACTCATGTACACGGACAGACGAGCGGACAGGTTTAGATCAAGTCAGATTGACTGTCCGAATAAAAGATCGGTCTATCTCAAGTCCTTCTGAGTGTTGTATACATACGCACAAACTTAATATACCTTTATACTACAAGTGCGGTAGAATATAATAACAAGAAGCCACAATTCGATAGAGAAAGTTTTCATTTCCCTTGTGGTGTCACATTTAATTCATTTGCGAATTGTTGTGGTTATTTGAAGGTCAACGCCATCCAACTTGCTTGCCATGCTTGCAAATCGGTGTCATCCAAACTTTTCGAAGCAACATGACTTTATATATGTTCTCAAAAGAAATAGATCCTTGGAAGTCAATCAACTTATCAAACGAATTTTAAAAACAGTTACTTAGTCACCTTTTAGAGTTTTTTTACAAGAAGTGAAAGAGATTCTTTTATCTGGCGAAATTACGATCTATGCCAACACCCCTTATCTTAGATTACACTAATTTTGACAGGAGATAAGATTAAATTGAAAACTTATTTAAAATTATCGCAAAACGGAAGATTTGAAGACGATAAGCCTCTTACTTAACGCAATTCGCTGAGCAATTCAATTCAATGAACCTAGAAAAAGGTTCTGAAATTTGATTATCAAATCTCTTCTACGCACATTGATGCAGCATTCTGTAGATATCAAAAGTAGATAATTTAAATGGAAATAATCACGTGTATATACACACCTACTCGAAAAATTTCATTATCTTTAATTGTAAGGGAACTAATGCCTTATAACTAGCTTACAACGTAACTGCGTTATATTGACGCAGTGGGCGCAGTGAAAATACAGAGGGGGGCATATTTTGCTCTCTACTCTCCTCTTTAAGCATTTAGTTAAACAACTATCTGCTTTGATAAATCTAAGACAACGTAATCATTGTACTGCAGCTGTACAATACGCATTAAGCGAATTTCGCGTATGCATTTATTGCCTTGACATTAATGGGCTTTTTTTTTTCTTCTTTTTTTTTTTTTAAATTAGTTCTAATGTGTATTCCAAAAGCTAATATTACTATTCTAATAATTATCTGTAAAAAAAACTTTTCTCTTATAGGCGAAGCTTACGAGACATTCCTATGAATAACTTGATTACAATGCATTTAGTTGAGTTTGTGCAACGAATTTCTAAAAAGTTAACATTGATTAGTAGTGATGGCGACGGCTAAGACAACTAATATAGAAAATCCTAATGAAAATCTGCGAATACCTGCGTGGATAACAAAAGAATATTTTAAGGAAATATTGGCCACTGATGAACCGGACGCCCTGTATGTTAAACATTTCACGCCTACAGCGGCTATACCGCCAGGAGAAAATTTCACTTCTATAATGCTGCGAATACATGTCGATTTAGAAATGAAAGGTGACTATCACATCTTAGCAGATAAAATGAAAAAACAAAGAATATAAATATAAAAGGAGCTCTTCTTGATCTTTTCAGATGGTTGCGTTAAACACAAATCGTATATAATGAAGACAATGTTGGACGATGATGAGAGCGATGATGTCATTAATAAACTATCTTTATTCCCCAAAGAAATGATCGTATATCGAGAGTATATACCAGCGTTTGAAAATTTTTATAAAAACATTGGTTGGCCTATAAAATTAGCACCGAAATGCTTGCTCGCTGAGCATAAAAACGGACGCATTAATTTCGTTTTCGAGGATTTACAAGAACAACATTTTAAAAATCCTAAACGTTTGCAAGGTTGTAGTATGCAATTGATGGTTGCTTCCCTTCGCAAATTGGCTGAATATCATGCGGTCAGTGCTGTTTATGCTGAAAAAAACGGACCATTCCCGACGGACTTTCAATATGGATTCTTTAATAAAGATCTAGACATGGAAATAATGCGAAACGCTTATGAAATGAAAATCAAAGAATACAAATTGGCCATGAAACAATGGCAACTAGATAATGTTGAAGAATACATAAGAAAGATCGTAGGTTTATCAAGATCTCTTTTATTTTACATTTCACGATATTAAAAACTTTGCTTTATATTCTCAGCCGACGTTTGAACAGTACTGGAAATGTGGTCTAAGTACTTTGCAACAAAAGGAAAATTCTTTTAATGTTTTAACTCATGGCGATTTTTGGAGCAGCAACATCATGTTCTCTGAGGATCCCATAGGATCCCATATAAACAATATAATCATTGTGGACTTTCAAATCTGTAAATGGGGTAGTCCGGCTGAGGATTTGTTATTCTTTCTCACCATTTCACCCGAGAAGGATATACGTATAAGAGAATTTGATAATTTCATTGCTATTTATTACAAACGTTTAATGGAATGCTTGAAAGCTTTAAATTATCAGAAACCCTACCCTAAACTGAGAGATCTTCATAAAGATATTTTAGATCAAAGGCATTCATTTTATGGTAAAAATTCAATAAGTTAAAGTTGAAGTGTAATCAAATTTTCCTTTTCTTAGCTTTCTTTGCGGTTTTTAATCACTTGCCCGCTATTCTGATGCCAACCGATAAGGATTCAAATATACACAACTTTTCTCGCAATGACGAATATGGTAAAAAGTTACGTCTAAAAATGTACACTAATCCCCGCTACGTGCAAGTTGCGAAAGATCTATTTCCGTTTTTTCACACACGTGGCATATTTAATTTTGAAGATTATGATGAATAAGAACAGATTCGTCTAATCTCCGCATTGGTACTGCAGAGTGCAAGATTGAAGATTTACACATTTGTTCTTTAACAGAGATTTTCGTCTTCTTCTTCGAATTGTATAAATCCGCATTCAACTTATAAGAGAACGCACCTCCATCTTTAAATAAAGGTTTAAAATTTAGATAAAGTGAATCTCTTTCTCTTTTTAGAAAAATTTTTGTATTGTTTTTGCTAAACGAGTGGTTTTTCTAGCGAGCAGCGATGCAAAATCGACACCCGTTCAAACATTTTTCAAAGCTAAAGACCTAATTTCAAGCCTACACATTAAGTGTAGGTTGGATTGTGTGTCTCCCTTGGCTTGTGAGTGTACGTTCTCACACTTCGTATGTCTGCTTGCAGACTTCTCTATTTAGAATTCAGCTACAGTCGAGGCTGAAGACTTAACAAACCGTTCTTTCTGTTGTTGAGGTGGCCGAAGAGCTTGTTAATTTGAGATAATGCCTGGGGGATGCTGAGTTGCTATCTCCTCTTTGCACAATAAAGATCCAAGGCTGTATTAAATGGATGGCATGCAGGAAGTATGAATAATCCAGAAGCAAGAATATGTACGTATCTATGATACACGTAGTGCCGGTAATCCTAAGGAATTATAGAATAAAACTACGGGGTAGACCAGGGCCAAATTACCTATCTACGCCGTCTAATACTCCATGTGCTTTCTTATTACTAAGCGCGAGTGGTAGCGCTGTAAGATATTTCGGTGGAAACGGTGTGTGAGGCCTGATTGCTGGACGCGATGCTTTGTGATCGACTCGGTATGGTAACAATTAGAGATGCAGGCAGGCCTCGCTTTGGCCAGAAGGGAAAGTTTGGACCATATCCAAACTGTTATGTCTGGTATTCGAATAGATCTTTTCGCTTACAGGAATATCTTGCAAGCAGAGGGCACCGCCGATCGCTGGTAAATTACTAAACAAGCCCATGGGCCTCGTTTAACTAAGACCTGCGGTAGTGCGTAGATGTTAATTCAGTGAAGATGGGTTCCCTTGGCTTATAAGTTCAATGTTGGTCCGTGGGAAATAAATATCAATATTCTCAAAGGTTAGATAACGCGCTAATGGATGGAAAGTCTTACGATCCTTACCCCGGGCTTTCGCTAGTTGCCAACTACATACCCCGGGGTTAGCGAGAAGTTTGCGAGTGTCCTCTCGCAAAAGTACTATATACAGGGAAGGAATAGAAGTGGATGAGACCGAGTTTTAGGAACAGAGAAAGTTACAGCGGCTGTCCCAAGCTATCTAAAAAGGTTTACTCAGATCGTTAGTGAGAAGATTACCTCATTCGCTCATCGAAGACGATGGTACGGGATTTGCGAAAGAGAGTGAAGGGAGATTTATATACATTTCGCTGAGAGTAGGATCCAACGGGTTACATATTAAGATCGCGTGGAGCAAACAGCTGTCAGTACGGTATAGCGAAGAGCTGCTGATGAAGATGGCTCCACCCGCGCATTAAGATATACAAAAAACGCCTCGGTATCATGAGATCTACGTCTAAGGAGCACGAAAGCGCTCTTGCTAATCGCAAAAGTATTTTTTTTAGGCATAGGGGATAGTAAAATTATATAAATATTCATAAATATTTGCTGAGCAGAAATATTCAACGTTACTTTGAATACATTCTTTACCGTATCTGTAGACAAAGTAATAAAACTTTACTCGACTTTCTTGCATTACATTCAAATATGATTCACTGGCGGCAGGTAAAAGAAACGCACATGTTTTGTACTCACGAAATGTATGAAAAGTGGACCCTCAGTTATTCGCATACTTTAGCAACATATTAATAAATGGACAAGAATGTTTGCCGATTTTCTACACAAGCACCGATTGTCCTTCTTATACGCCTGCAATTTGTATAGAATTGAATTAGAATTTATTTTAGGTTAAATATTATTTAAGAATAAGAACTTTTTAAAAATGAAAAAATATTTTTCTTCATAACAAACCTCATCACAACCTCCAAGTGAATCTTCATCAGAATCTTTCATTAAACTTCTACTTCTTTGAGGTTAACATTTATGAAGAAGTTGCATTTTTTGCAAGTTTTTATGCCTTTAAGTTTTTAATCGCCAATCTTTTCAATTTTTATATAATTATGAGCTTTTATGGCCGAATGCTGTCTTAGCTTGTTGTGTGTACAAAGTTGTCTAAAGAATAAAAATATATAAATAATGTTTTACTTTCCTTATCGCGTTGTAATTAAATCGAAATCATTGATAATAATAAGCAGAGAATGCGAGTTAGATCGAATCTGATGACACACACCACTTACTTATTTTTGCCACTTTTTAATAAATAAATAAAAATAGTCTTAGCAATATTGTAAACATAACTTGCTAAGTAATCGTAATAATTTAAGCGCTTAGATGTTATGTAAAACGCTTGATTCGTCCTCGCCACCGTGCCCGCCCACTAAACCAATACGACTAACGTACTATGTCAGACATAATAAATCCAAAGATTGGAAATATTGTGTAAACCTTTTTTTTGGGTGATCGCAATCAAAAAATACATTCATAGAAATAATTTTAACCCGACATAAGTGAAATGAAAATACGTAAACTGTTTCTATTTGAATAGACGACTGGGCGAACAAACATAATACAATCGATTAGGAATATATGTTCTTTATAGATCTTCATTGTAGTTACGGATACGGTATAGTTGGCTTTTGACCTGGGAAGTATCTGTATAAACTATAGGGAATTGTAGACAATAGAAGCATAAACATTTTTTCGAATCTTCTTTTCAAAAATTTATAACAATTTACACGGATCGCGGTAATTCAGCGTCTCTACTGCCTCTAGGTTAACAGGCGCAAAACTTAACGGGCAATTCGTTTATTCTTCGCATTGTTTGATGGTCATATATCTCTCTCAGATTTCGTGATCGAAGTCTGTATTAGTCTTTAAAAAAAGATTTTCTTAACCGCCACAACATAATCATGTTACTCGAACTGCTCGATCGCTGCATATGCAAAGATATACGGCAGTAGTAGTCTATGGGTGAACCTAATGTTGTACAAAGAATCATTTTGTTGTTTTCCTTATCAATTTAATTAAATAAATTCCAAAAGAGAATTTTTTTTTATTTTTTATTGTTTTATTAGATAGCGTTTTCCCCTTGCCAATGATGTCAACTCTTAAACCTAGAAAGCGTATAAAATGAATGCACTTGTACTATACGTTACATACAAAACCATTCTAAGGGAGAAATGAATATGAATTTGATTGAATTCAGTTTCTTTCCACTGCTTCACACAGCCAGATCTTCATTCTAGGATTTTAATACACTGCAGCAAAAACTAAAATGTAGAAGGACCGACCGTAATCAGTGCAACTCAAATCTAGATGCAATTGATAAAAACGCAAATCTTTAAAACAAAGACAAACAACGATAACAATTTATTTATTTTATTTGTTTGCATCCTGGAGTGGGAGAGAGAGAGAGAGGCGGGGCTATCGTTGAATACACTGTAAATATAGCAAATGTTCATACGATCATGAAACAGTCAAAGCCCAAAGCCTAGAGTATCGTGATTATTGTAATTGAAAAACAAATTTATCAATTAAAGTGTGAACGTCAGTATTAAAGTAGCGAAGCTTTGAGAATAATAATAAAAATCGTATGAATTTGCTTTTGTATTTAAATTGCGTAGATATCGATTTGATTTCATTTAATCGAATTTTTTTTTACAAGTGTTTTAATTGATTGGCGCGGAACGCGGCGAATGGGAAGAGAGTCTTAAAAATGCCGGATAATAGTGCGAAATTTAATGCCGATCTTCATTTGGATATACCCAAATGGATAAATTCGGAATATTTTGAGAAAATCTTGCGAAAAGATTTTCAATGTTTTAAAAAAATTTTGAAATTTACCATAATACCAGCCAGCCCCCCCGGTGAAAATTACACGTCAATAATGATGCGGGTTAAAATGGATTTTGAAATGGAAGGTAAATGAGACAATGATGCGTGAAATTGAACTCACAAAATATTGTTAAACAGTCTTTTCATCACTCATTACTGAAACGTAGATGGTTTTACTCAACAAAAGTCGTATATTATGAAGACCATGCTTGATAATGGCAGAAAAGGAAATTATGTTAATACGTTAAACTTGTTTCCCAAAGAAAAACTAATGTACGAGAGCATTTTACCACAACTGGAAGCTTTGTACGAAGAGCGTGGTAGCAAAGTGAAATTCGCACCGAGATGCCACTGGATTGAGGATAATTCAGGACAAATAACTTTAGTATTGGCTGATCTAAAGACAAAGAAGTTTCGTAACATTAACCGCTTGAAAGGTTTCGATATGTTGCATATCAAAAAAGTTTTAGAGAAATTGGCCGAATTCCATGCAGCCTCGGCAGTTTTGATGGAGCGTAACGGCTCAATACCGCATGAATTTCAAAATATTTATTTACCAGTCAATTACCATAAATCGAAATCCTATCAGGCTCGCATACGAAGCTATAAGTCGGCCATGTCCCTATGGGGTCTGGAAGACTACGAAAAGTACTCGAACTTTATAGTAAGTAAAAGTTGAAAAATATTCATCGATAGTAACTTTAAATTGTTTGTTTCTTTCTTTTTTTTTTTACCTCCCATTTAGCCTAGTGCAGAGCAATACATGAAAGCTACTATGCATTGTCATCATGGCGATCCTTCCGAGTTTAAAGTTCTAAATCATGGTGACTTCTGGTCGAGTAATATTATGTTAAATTATTTATCCAATGCTACCAACGCAAACACGGACATCAATCAAATACGTTTTGTAGACTTCCAAATGTGTAAATGGAGCAATCCAGCGCTGGATCTATGGGAATTGATTATCTGTTCGGTGGAGAGCAATTTACGAATAAAGCATTTTGATTACTTCCTTAGGATTTATCACAGCCACTTGCAAAAGTGCTTAGCGTTCTTGCACTATCCGAAACCTTTACCGCTCTTAAGGGACTTGCATATTAGCATGCTGAGATATGGATTCTGGGCCTACTATAATACTTTCAATCATTTAGTATTAATTTTAATGCCCGATAAGGAGGCCAGCTTGCTGAGATTAATGCAATCCGGAGAAGAGGGTGACAAATTTCGAATGAAAGCTTATACGAATCCCTTGTACGTCAGAGCTGTCCTAGATATTTTTCCATTTTTATACCGTAAAGGTCTACTAGATTTTACTTAATGAAAGCTCAATAACAATAAGTTCTTTATTATAATATGATAGGAAAATAAAGACAATTAAAGACAAAATTTCTGTCAGTGTATCCGAAGCTTTCTTATCATTCTCGGTCAGTAAAAGTCAGCTTTTTAAAGAAAAAGAAAACAAAATGCAACCTTTCGCATTAGCACGTGTAAGAGAGTGAACTTTTTTTTATCAAAACTTGAAAAAAGTTTAAAACTTCTTCACACACCTACGCATAAATCAACTTGCGCGTATATGGCTGCGGTGTTGTGTACATTATTTGATTTTTGGATTTAGTCGTTAATTGCAATCAGGTGACCGAAGCCGTTGTTTGAGTTATATTTGTTTATTTCATATGGGCACTGGTACAAAAGATTATACACCACCCGATTGGTTGACGGTGGAATTTTTACAAGATGTGCTTAGAGAATATTTTAAAGATGACACTGACACTTTAGAGGTGCACAACATGAAAGTTGGAGCAGCAGCAGTGACATCGTCAAAGGGCAGTGGTGGTGAAAAGGTGCACCACGGTTTTGCCAGCGAAATGCATTGTGCCATCCTTCAATTGAAGCGTAATCATGCTTTAAGCAAATTTTCGGTTATTCTCAAGGTTCGTAATTAAATTAAAAATTAATTGTTATTGCTTCAATCAAGAAGAATCAAAAATTAAAAAAAATACTTTATATACAGTCGACGACATAAAGATTCAATAACTTACGTACATACACATAGTTATGTGTATAGCACTAGAAGTTGTTATTTAATGCTTGAGACTTTTCAAATACCTTTTGTTTGCTTTTCTGAAATGCGAAAGCATTTACGTCATTGGCCGTAAGAATGTATGTTAAGGAATCTTTTCATCAATAATGAGTTTTGGAATTACCACCACCATGTATATGCCTGCTGTGGTTTTTTTTTTCACAAAAGCTCGTCACACAATTTACTTTTCACTCTTCGCATGACTTTTTGTGCCCTTCTTTCTCTTTCGCTCTCACTCACTCACTCACTCAGTCACTGTTGTCTGTATGCACTGAGAAAAAGCCGGCACATTTTTTTTTAATTATGTAAAGATCATATGCTAGAATTTTAATATTCTTTTTTGTTATACCCGCCACCAAGGGATGGCGACACCCTACCATGCAGTAAATCTGCTCATAGAGACGTCCACTCTGTAGCATAACATCTTTGATTGAAAAATTTTTTCCTCGTTTCTCATGACCCCGCTGACAAACTCCAAAAATCTCCATGTATATCCTAAAGAGATGAAAAAAAAAAATCAGCTAAGGACACGAAAATTTACTTTTCATTACTTGCTCTTTTTCCCTTTGTTTTTTTTAGGATAAGGGTGATGGATGTAAAAAACTCGATCACAGCCGAATGTAATTTTCCTTTTGTGTTTTTTTTTTGGTTCGTTTTTGTAGGTTCATCCCAAAGGGTTGACTGGCGTCTTAGCCCACAAAAGTAAGCTATTTAAACGTGAGATTATGACCTATAAAGAAATAATACCGCGCGTAGAAGAATTATTAACGGGTATAAATGATAGAATAAAAATTGCTCCCGCCTGTTATTACACGACCGAAGTGCCCGAACCATTTCTTATTTTGGAAGATATGCATCGAAGCGGCTACGAAAATTTTGAAAAAAGACGTCTTCTAAATTTAGAATACGTTCTGCTGACCGTACGCAAATTAGCCAAATTGCACGCTTGCTCTGCGGTAATCGCAAGGGAAAATCCTCGCATAATGGAAATTTTCGAAGAGCCGCCCATTTCACGTCATCCAGATCGTAAAGATTTCCTAGAATTTTTTCCCGTTAATATGCGTTGCGTAGCCGAAGAGATTTCACATTGGCCAGGTTACGAAAAGATAACGGAAAAATTGTTTAAATTAAGTGAGAATGTGATTGAGAAGGCGGTAGAAATGTATGAAAATCAGGCGAAACGTTTTCGCGTTTTTAATATAGCCGATCTTTGGATTGATAATTTAATGTTCCGCATGAATAACGAAACTCAGGAACCTGACGACGTGATGCTTGTAAGATGGCGTTTGACATTCATTTTGATGCAATTTTAAAAAATTTCATATTTTCTTAGTTCGATTATCAATTATGTTACTATGGCTCACCAGCTGTGGATCTAAATTATTTACTATATGGATCGGTTAATGAAAACGTTCGAAAAGTGCACTTAAAATATATCGTAAGCGAATATCACCATATTTTGAAGGAAACCTTGGAAAAATTAAATTATAATGGCTTCATACCTTCGCTAAAAGATATCACAATCGATATGATAAGGAATAGTTTGCAAGGTTTGAATCTTTCCTTTGTATTTTTACTCGAAATTTGAAGAAGTTCTCTTTTATTTAACAAAGGTGTGATTGCGGCCACTTGCTTAACGCCTATAATTTTTATGGAGAAAGACGGTTATGACAACCTCGAGTATCTCATTTCTCTCAACGAGCAAGGCAATCAGATAAGGCGCGAGAATGTAGAGAATCCAAAATATCGTACATTTCTACAGCGCACCATTAAAGAGTTTGAATTAAGCGGCTTTCTCGATTTTTAATAAAATCCAACTCACATACAGCCAAGCTCATATAAATAGTGCGCACTTTGCGATGAATATAAAAAAAAAGTTTTATTAAGAGATTTGTATAGAAATGTAAAACTTGTGTTTCCTTTATATCGAAATATAACATGAAATACATTAAACAAATGTGAACATAGCCGGACAAAGCAGGCTATTAGGTACCCTACACCACTCCGCCTGATATCGCCATTCATCCATGTTCATTCTAAAGTACCCAAATTATCCTTACATCAAAAGCATGCTCTTCGTGAGAGCCCTTAAATTGGAGGCTGCTCAAAATATCGACTGACGTAGTCCAGATTTAGCAAAAAATTAATTTACTTGTCAAAGATATTATTATTTTTCAGTTGTCTCCGTCATAACATGCTTTCTTCATCCTATAAGGACTTGCTTTCCGTGAGCATATATAGTGGCGTCTAAAAAGAAGAGTGAAGTTATGCAAGTTCCCTATGGTTAATTTTTATACTAGCTACTACTACTATGGACCAATTTTGCGTACGAAATATTGAAGATTAAACGTTTTTGCTAAAAAGCTTAGCATCCATGAGAACACATGTAGAGAATGGCATCCAAAAGGCAGATTCCAATATGGAAATTTTGAGAAGTAGACCTTTTTGGAGTGTAAGAGGTAAATATATCACGACACGGGGTTTACATGGGATCTAAAAAATATACCTACTTGGTCCAAATTCGGTAAATTAATTTCTATGCCAAATCACTTTTACGGATTGTAGGGCGGCCCCATTCGTTCCAATTTTCTCAAACTAATTTAGAACGCCGAACGAAATAGAGTTACTCGTCCTCGTTGGTTCGTCGAGCCAAAATGTAGCGGTATACTGAATTTAGTTTCCGGTCAGGAAAGCTTAGTTCAATTTAATATAATAAAGTGTCTACCTAGAGTCTTTTGCTGTTTTTAAATATACATCCTGTACGTATTTAATGGTGGGGCGTCCACCACCATAATGTTTTTACTTGTTGCATTTCAATTAAAATTGAAATACATTTTAAATATATATATTTTTTTATAATAAATATGTATATAGAAAACCGAGGTACATTTCTTGAATTTTTTTTTTTTTTACGAGTGCCAGAACGAGTCTTAACTTTTACTCTGACGGCGAAGAGTGAGGTGGTGTGTCCATGACTTGTTAAGAGAATGAAGGTGCAAGTAAGACGATAAAGAGTTTAGCTTCTTCTTCGATTATTGATTTAGGCAAAGTAAACCTTTCCGCTCGAATTTGGGGAGTAAATGTCTAATAATGCGCTGACAATAGGGATTTTTAGTGTAACAGGACTCCTTAAATTGCATAGCATGCTTTGTATTTTTTATTAGAGTCGCGAAATCAGCATCCCCAGTATCAATACAACGATGTATGGGTTGAATGAAACAGGTGCTGTGAAGTCCTATAGAATTATATTTAAACGAAAGGTTAAAATAATTGATTTCACCTTTGTTCGCTGAGAACTTACTGTAAAAAGCTTTTTCCTCCAATTGCAAGTGAAATTCGTGCAGCGTTGGTATGTGTCCTTGAAAGCTTAATTTCTTTAAGGTATCACTTAACGTATAGTAATAATTTTGTATCAACTCATCTTGTTTGTTTAAATGCAAGTCCTCCTCTAGCGAAGTATTAAAATTATACCACAAATCTATGCCCGGTGAACCCCAGACAACAAATTGATAATCAATAATGATCATATCCAAGGGTTTGCCAGATACCGGATCATATTTCACCATAATATTGGTAGACCAGAGATCACCATGATTTAAAACATTTAAATGATTAGGCATGGGATCAAAAACCCGTAAACACAATTCCATGTAATTGTCTTTAAGTTTCTCTAATTTCTGGCTAATATCTTGAAAACCTGGTGACTGGGCTACAAATTTCTTGCAGGCGTCAAACATGCCCGTGACAACACTGTAATTCTTATCATTGTGACGAGAAACCAGACCGCGCTGAAAACTTTCCAAATAACCAGATTCACGCTCATTTAATACAGCGGAAGCTGCATGCATTTTGGCCAATTTTCTTAACATTAATTCGACAATCTCTCGATTTAAACCTTTTAAACGATCCACCGTAAAATAGTTGCGTTCATTTAAATCTTCAAAAATCAAACATGATCTTCGCCTATCGACAGCTACAGTTCTTGCGAAAATTTCCTCAGTTTCATTAATATCGCTAAGCAAAGTTTTCAGCTTTGGTATAACTTTCTCATACATAATCATTTCACAGAGGAACACATCACTTCCGTACACTTCGTCAAAAATTTTATCCTGCAGCATAGATTTAACAACATATGAACGGGTCTCGGTAACGTTCTTCGAGGGCAGTAGAAATTCCACTTTTACACGCGTCAAGACACCTAAATAATTCTCGCCTTTACCCAGGCAAGGCGTGGCTTGAAATTTCAATATTTCCAATTCATTGTCATTGTAGTGCGATCGTAAACATTGCTCCATATATTCCTGATTTAGCCAAGAGGGACATTCCATGGTTAATCCATCCTTACTTAGTTGGGATTGTTTCTTCATATCAGCTTTTAACTGACGCTCTAGATCGCTTGCCGCGACATCAGTTTGTAACACTTTGCAGCTGGACATTTTCTATGCCCTTCTTCCTTATAACTAAAAGCAAAAACTTGTACTTCATAAAGACAGTCACGTTGTTAAGTTGCGATAAAAGTACTTGTGTTGGCATTCCGCTTTTCTCTGTCACATTTATATATTATTATGGCAATGTAGTTGTGGTTTCATAAAATCTTTATTTACTAATCTAGTTTATTAAAATTTATAATTTTTTAACTTGAGATTTTCTAAACAAATATTTAATTAAATCATAAATTACTAAAGAAATTAATTTTGAACTTTTAACAGATCACGAATACGAAAAAGTACACTAGTAGTTCTCTTCATTTGTTTAACCAATTTGGATAAAGTGCAGCAAAAGCAAGAGTGCAACGTCAAGTCTAACAAATCGGCAGACAAACTTTATATCAATAAAGCCATTTAGCTATTTGGAACGATTGAAGAATTGGCAAAGTAATTTAATCGTTGGGACGGAGATTAACGGTTGAGTTAAAACGAAAAATTTGGTTTCAATCCACAGGGGGAGCTCACTTTATGGAAGTTGCAGGTCGTTATAGAGTCAATTAATTACCCCAAACATTTTTATTTTTTTTATTATTATTATTATAAATTTAGCCAGAGAATAAATTTTAAAACTAAATAAAAGCTTAAAGCACTAGGATCTAAGGCTTACGGCTTTTACTAAAAACTTTGCCGCACTTGAGATTTGAACCCACAACTATTGAGTTGCTAATCGAAACCCTTGCCTACTCGTCCGCGGATATGATATATATATATATATTTTTAATTGCTATTGCTATTATTATAATTTATCTAGACCGAAGAAACACACTGTGGGATTAAAAGGTATGATGAACAGTGGTACCAACAAAGTCTAACGGCTCTTTTTTCAAAGGACAGACTATATGTTTACTTATCCCGTTGCTTTAGGAAAGTTAAATACTTTGTTGATATTAAGTTCTGCAGGCGTTTTCAAGATATCCATTGGATTCAATGCTACGAAAACAAGTCTTATGAATATTAGAAAGGCTTTAGCACTCACAAAGTTTACGTTCAATCGTAAGTAGAGGAGTAGCTTTCTTATGACAGTGCAACCAAGGATGATTCTTGCAAATGCTTCCATCTTGATTTTCCCGGTATCGATTGGATACATATAGAATGGGGAGAGCTTGGGCTTAACATGCCAGTAATACAGTCGATTTTTTTCATTAAGCTTTTGCTGCTAGATTTGCCCGCTCGGAACCAAAAAAAATGTTAACTTTTTTTCCCCAAAAGTCAATAGTATTCCTTACCTTTATTAATGGCGTGCGAGTTGAAATTTGAGGAGCAAGAATCTATCGCGTAAAAAATCTATAATAGCACTGCATGGCGGATGCCTTTCTGGCATTATCGTACAAATTAAAAAGTATTATCGGTCCACCTTATAGTTATTTATATAGACAAACAATTAAATATCTTATGACGGTGAATATCTCCGTCGTAAACTGAATATCACATCAGCATTTCTTTGATTATTCACGCACTGAACGTCTTTGCGATTAGATTGGGACCTATTGGTCGGCATATCGTTTGCAAGAAAGGACCCAAATTATCATAGAAGTGGCGAACATGTCGAGAATTTCAAGAGAACAAATTTTGAAATCTAAAGGTTCTTCAATAAAAAAGAAAAAATCTCTTTGTTGTAAAGCACTGCTTTCTCATAAATATCGCGGTATGCCGGACGGTTCAAGATTTTTTCAAATGTAAGCGATTAATAATGACTCAAATAAATGCAAGTAGGTCGTGATCAAGGGTTGTAAGCATAAAAATGACTACATCCGCGTTTTCCTTGAATTGTAAAAATAAAATCCCCATAATGAGGACAGTGAACAGACTACATATATGTGTAGAAATTTACTTTACTAGATTATCTTTTCAAATATTTATTTAACTGAAAGCAGTTGTTGCAAACTTTATTGATATTATCATAAAAACGGATTATACGCGTAAGTGTAATAAGGCAAAAATTTGAAAATTCAAAGCACGTTTGGAATTTGTTCTGTGCATGATACAAAGCGATGGACACACCGCAATGGTTAACTGAACAGTATTTAGAAGAAGTCTTGTACCGTTATCACGACGCGAAAGCTTTAAATATTCTAAAACTAAGCATAAATCCAGCGTTGGCTAAAGGCGAGAATTTCGGCGGTAACTTAAATAAAGTCATTATTCATTATCAGTTGAATGATAGCAAAGAGATTGTGATACGAAATTTTATAATAAAAACTGCCTACGAAAATGATGAATTTGTTGTTGAGAAACTAAAACCATATGACATTTTCAACCGGGAGATATCGATATACAAAGAAGTGCTACCGAAATTGAAACTTATACTAAAGGAAATCATCAGTGATGATGACGAAATTTTTACTGAAGTTATCTTTTCGGACTATGAACGACAAATTCTGATATTTGAAGACGTATCCGTGAGAGGTTACACTATGGCCAGTCGTGTTGAACGTTTGGGCAGCGATCATGTAAAATTGGTCTTAAAAAAGCTGGCCAGGCTGCATGCTGCTTCGGCAGTTTTAAATGAAAGGGAAAACAAAAGCCTGGAAATATACGATCGCGGATTTTTTAATCAATATACCGATACTTATAAGACCTATTTTGTTAGCAACTTAATGGCTTGTGCGCGATTTTTAAATCACTTACCGAAATATGCTAAATACGCTGAAAAGTTGTTTGCTTTGAAATCGAACTATATGAATATAGGGCTTAAGTGCTTTAATCCTTGCGAAAATCATGTTAATGTCCTGGCGCATGGGGATATTTGGACAAATAATCTAATGTTTCGCTACGATTCAATAACAGGAAAGCCGGTCGATGTTCTAATAATAGATTTTCAATATGCATTTTGGGGTTCGCCAACACTCGATTTGCATCATTTCTTCAACACTTCGTTAAAAGAGACATTGCGTCTTAACCGACTAGATGAATATTTCCAAGATTATTACAACCATTTCGCAGAAACTCTATTAAAATTGAATTACTCTTCGAAATCTATACCTAGTCTAAGGGCATTCTGTTTGGAAGTCGAGCAAAAAAGATTTTTTGGTAAATATTTATATTTATCATTAATTATTGAAAGCATTTGCAATTTTTCTCTTTCTTGAAGCTTTTCACTCTGCAGTCGTTATACAACCTGTTATGATTAATGAGGACGCAAACGAGGTTGATTTTAAACTTGTATGGGGAGAAGACGAACATGCAATTAATTTTAAAAATAATTTATACAAAAATGAGGAAGTTCAAAATGTGTTACGAAATTTATTACCAGCTTTTGACAATAAAGGCCTTTTAGAAGTTGATCAATAAAATTTTTTTTAAAAAAACTAAAGTGCTTCCCATACCATAAGGTTTCAATGAAAAGATCAACTTGAAGTGTGTGCGGATGTATGCGAAATTCAGAGGGACCTGAGACATACTCACAATTCACCTTACCTATCAATTCGGAATCATTTTCTGAATTTGCAGAATTATTTTCTGAATCCATCTAATCTTTGTCCTTCATAACGACGGATAATGGAATTAAGAGTGAAAAACCTAAAGGTACTACGAAATTTGTTTAACATTATAAAACAATTGATTACTTATGTGTCTCGCTATTATTTTAAAACCTAGCTTCCTTGCGCTCGGGCTCAAAAATTAACCTAATGTGGTCGAAATTTGCTGCGGTTAATTTTTAAGCCAATTTACAGTCGTGGGATAGTTTTAAACGCCAAATATTGAAAATTGCGCTTTTTAGACCAATAACATTTTAGTTGCCATTCAAAGTCTTTGACCGAATCTGAACGGAACCTATGAATAAATTTGTTATCAAACTTCTTCATTTCATGACAAATGTTTAACGCGTTGCCGTAGTGTTACCATATTCGACGGCATCTCCATTCTTAACAAGTGATGTTTTTTTTTTGAACATGTAAAGAAAAAAAGCAGCTAACGGGTTTTTGGGAGAAATGCAGTTTGTCGAAGGTGAAGAAAGGAAGATTTGTGCACACAAATTGAAAAATTTTCGAGCAATTCTTTAGTGAACTAAATAATTTTAGGTGATAATTGGAAACTTGAAAAAAAAAAAGGAAATTCAAAAAAAATCATTATAAAAACCTCTAATGGTATGCATTGGAAAAATAGACGCATACGTTGTCTAAATTTGATAGACTTCGTTTTTATATCAAAGATATATTAAAAAGTAGCCGCCTTTGCCCGTCTGAAAGCTTAGTTCTTCTAGGAACCGTCACATAAAAGGAGATGCGCTCACCTGATGGGAAATTTCCAAATTAATTTCTTATACGGAAAAGTTGTCATTTAGCCATTTGTGTCGACAAATCTGAAAAATTACGGTTTTGTCACATGGTGAATGATCGCAAAATTGGTTCCACCTAATCTGTTTTCAATAGGGCCAAATCAAGTTAGTATACCCTCTTGTGCACTCAGCCAGAATTTATTCAGTAAAAAGCATCTGCAGAAAAATGCCATCGAATTATTACCAAAATTCTGATGCTCGCGAATTATTAGATGTTCCATGTTAAATTTATACTAAGGGAAGAGAGTAGAAAGAAACTATTTGACCGTATCTTCTTTTACATGCTTTTCTTCTCTTCAAATGTATACAGAAATTGTGAAAATGGACTGACTATTTATCCTCCCAACCAACGCACTCTTTCTCTTTACGATGTTAATTAGTGATCCGCAGAAATATCGTAACCAACACAAACGAGCGCTATCTTAAACTTTTTATAACACAGATATATTTGTTTCTAGCCAGCAAGTTAGCAAGTTTTGAAGTGACATCCACCCAATAAATTTTTATTAAAGCACCCTACGAAATTATTAAGATAACAATTACATCTAAACACTAATTAAATCATTAAGATTAAAGATGAAAAATTTAATAAAATGCAATGCATTAGCTAAAGGTTTAGCCATTTGTTTAAAAGAAACCATAAACTTTCGGCGGAGAAAAAAAAAGGAAATAAACATAATGGTGGAAAATTCGGTTTGGCGCCCTTCAAATTGGGTAACCCATGCATATGTGGAGAAAATTTTAAAGGAATATTTTGAAAGTCCACAAATACGACTTCTGCAGATGGATATGAAACCGGCCACACTAAACGGTGAAAACTATGCCAGCGTTATGAGCCGCATCTATGTCAAATATGTTACATCATCTGATGAAACAAAGCCCGAAGAAAGGTTTTTGATTTTGAAAAGTTCATTTGGAAATGATCATGATATAGCAGAAATGTTTACAGAGTACAAAACCTGCGAAATAGAAATGGTTATGTATGAAAGAATTTTACCCAAGTTGTCAGCATTTTTGGGAACAACCAAGTTCTATGCACATACGTTAAAAGTTGATTATGATCACTCGGCCATACTTTTTGAAGATCTAAGCGCCAGTCGGGGTTATGTGTTGGCTGATCGTTTGAAAGGCTTGGATGAAAAACATGTTTTCATGATATTGAAGAATTTGGCAAAATTTCATGCTGCCGCGGCGGTGCTCAACAAAACCACGGAAGGAAGTTTGGAGAAGTTTGATTATGGCATGTTTAATAAACATACTGACAAGAATGCTGCACTATTTGAACACATGTTTGAAGTATGTGCCAAATATTCCGGTAGCTGCTCTCAATTGGGCAAATACTATGAGGAGAAATTAAAAAAATTAATACCTTATATCGTTGAAAAAGGGCGAGATGCTTACGAGAGTAAGCCGCACCACTTTTCCACACTTTGTCATGGAGATTTGTGGGTTAATAATATGCTAATTTTATACAATAGAGAGGATAAGACACCAGAGGATTTGGTCTTCATTGATTTCCAATTATGTCGATGGAGTTCACCAGCAATCGATTTGCATTATTTTTTTAATACTTCTTTAGAACCCAAATTGCATTTAGATCCTAATGCTTTGGATAGATTTGTACAATTCTATCATTCGAATTTGGAAGAAATGCTACGCAAGCTTAATTATCGCGATCACATACCAAATTTACGTGAGTTTGTGTTGCAATTGGAAGAAACTCGATTTGCAGGTAAGTTCTTCTACTTGCGCTACAAATGAAGCGGACTTTATCAACTATCCTCTTATACTAGCTGTTGCAGCCGCCTTGGCTGTACAACCAGTCGTAACAACTGAGCCTGCAGAAGGCGCCGATTTACATTGCTTTGTCGACGATACAGAAAAAGCCCGTACATTTCGTCAGAATTTATATGGAAAAAAACGTTTGCAGAATAACGCAATCAAACTGTTACCATACTTTGACGCACTTGGTTTATTAGATGTTCCCTGTTAAATCCAAGCCAATGGAAGACTTGTCTTCTTTTGTTGTGGCTTTATGCAAAAATTTTATTGATAAAAAATTATGAATATAAAATTGTCTTCCCCGTTAAAATTCCCAGCCAGCATACTCTTTCACGACATCCCTATTATCTTTACGATGACGATGTAAGGCACTTGCTTCGCCCTTTGCCACACAACGTTTACGCATTTCCATTTTCTCCCTCTTCTCCATGTTACGTTTCATACGCTCGCTTATAACAGTGGGAGCGATAGTACTCGCTCTTGTGGAATATGAACGCTGCGACCGCGTATCGTCTAATAACTTTTCCACAATTCTTAACCGATCCAAACGTGAATTCCTGTCGAGTTCTAGTACTTCACCCGTTTCTGAATCCTTCGAATTTTCATCTTTCTGAAAGCCCTCAACGTCAGCTACTGGATCAGTCATTTCGCCTATAGACCGATTGTTGTTGCTATTCTGATGATGTTCTTGTGCATTTGTCTCCTCAAATTCTGTTTGAGGACCTACAAATGGATTTTCTGTGAGTGATGTTGCATTTTCAGGTAAATCAACTTCTGGTCCTAGTTGTATGTTGCTTAAATATTGAGTGCACGACTCTATATAACGTCTCACTGAAGCATCGCTTTCCTTGCATGTTTTTGATTCGCTAAAAGTGATCTCATTTTCAAGTTGTTGACGATAAATTTCGATTTCTTCTTGAGTAGCTGGTTGCGCTTCCTCGACGTCCAATTCAGGCTCATTAATCATATCATATTCCTGTATTAAAAATATTATATATATATATGTATAGAAATGTATTAATATTATTATCATAGAATGGGTTTTAATCTAGTTAACGGAATAAATTGATAGACTTAAGAAAGCATAACAGAGCCTATAGCTATTTTAGGGAAAAGATCAATGACATATTAAATGATTAAATGTATTTATCATCTTTTTTCTTAATTTTATTTGTAACAGACTACTTTAGGACACCCATTGGATTTATTTTAACGAATACATTCTGCCAAGCGAAGTATATACAATTCTACAGCAGTTAGGAAATAGGTTTTTTGTAAGATTGTGAAGATGCTTTGATGAGTTGTCGATCCAAAACATTTTTACAAAATGTATCGTTCACAGAGAGAGATGACTTATTTTAAGGCTTATAGAGGAGCATTGCAGATGTGACAGTTAACCTTAAATCACTTGTCACCAAAAATTAAGTCTGTTAAGTGTTCTAAAGAAACTAATATGACCAAATATCCAAGGTATTACAAGTGTATGTCCATCAGTTTTTTGTGTATGTAAATGTTTTGTGAAAATCATATTAAGGATGTATCTATAACATACCTTCATTAAATCTTTTTCCATATCCTTAGTAACACCATAACCTGTGCAATGCACTTGACTATCCAAATTGTCTTGACGAATTAAATCAGAGAATTTAGGATATTCCGAACTCTCGTAATCATACTTACGACGAAATAGTTCGCGTACACAGTTCACATCACGGTCAAAGAAACTAAATATTATATGTAATCTTTGTCATTAAGATGTATAATTGTTGTCTTGGCAATCTTAGCTTACTATTTCGCATTTTCATGAGAGGTGGACATCATTTGCGGAAAATCGATTAGTATCGGCTTGTCTTCTTCGTTTAACATTATATTAAATTCGTTGAAATCTCCATGTATTACCCCAGAATTACCGAGACGCACTATTAAATTCATCAGATCATCATAAACCTGTTCAGGGTCTCCCAATTTATGTATTTGTGTCCTAAGAAGCATAAAAACTATTATATTTTTACTAGTTTAGAATATTTTTTGAGAAACTTGAACTTACATAGGCCAGCCATTAATTAACTCCATTAAAACGCAATGGCGATTAAAATCAATAGGTTTAGGTACTGGGAAACCATGTTCATGTAAAGCTGTCATATAAGCAAATTCTCGTGTAGCTGATATTCTAGACAAGTATAGCCAAGAAGCTTTATGACGACGCCCATGATAATCGCGCTTAGTTTTTACATTACGAAAGCAAGTTCTACCTAAGCGATGTAATTTTAAGCAAATTGGATTATCATCCTCATCGGCTACAATGAAGATATTCGACTCTTTTCCAACACCAATTTGATTGCCAAACGAAGTGACTGAGCCGCGTAAAGTCAAGCACTTTAGCGCTAAGTAGTCATAACCAGTATTTGTTAAACGGTATCCGTCAACTGCAATCGCATGGCAAGGATTGATGTTAAGTGTTTCTTCTAATGAGTTTATTCTTATAACAGCTTACATTTTTTACCCCTTTCATAAGACACTAGCTTATGTTTGCACAACTCTTTTAAGAGTTTATGAACTCCTCCCGCTTTTAGATTAGCTATGGATGCAGCCAAAGAACCTGTGACCAGCTCATGATTCTTCATTCCCATTTCAATCTACGAAAACATATGTCTCATTATGTGAAATTTTTATAAAGTTCTTTAATGTTTTACCGCAGTTAATACGCGGAAATCTTCTTTACTCAAATAACGTAAAAATTCTACGTTCAATTTCCCCATAGTTTACGATTTATTTTATTCACTTTTTTGTTGGTTTGCTTAGGTGTATTGATTAGTGGCTAATACACTTTTTTTTATTTAAGCCAACGTACACATGGTATTATTTAGCGAGATATTAATAAATCAGCTGCCGTTAAGTTTACGATATTGCCACATCTGAAGAGATTCTTTTGCAAATCAGGCACGTGGTGAATATTTAAAACATCCAACCCGCGATAAAGATAATTTCTTCTTTGCTTCCATACATATGGTAAGATAAGCCTTCGCTGCGTTTTAACAACAGATCTTAGGAATTTTTCACAGATTTTCGATCTTTTTAACAGACTTTCCTTTTTTGTAAACAAGTAAGCCATATTAGCAAAGTCTCACCAATCCATTCACATAAATACTTTTCTTCTTTTTCTGTATTTATTTTGGTTGCCATGGCATTTTTGACATTTGCTTGACACAAGCGAAAATACATGCTGAACCGTCAGCTTTTGTGAAAATTTAAAAAGATTATGGTGGTTGAATAAGTTGTTGATAAAAGCCTTCAACTCGGTAGAAAAGTGAAATAATCAAAAATTTTTGAAAAGAAATAAAAAGAAAAAAGTTAAAAAAAGTCAAACGTGTTGTTTATAAATATATACACATAACTACTGTTCTGGAAATAAAATAAACTTCTTATTCATTCATAAGAAATTTTGTTTAAACACATTGGCCGAATATATATAGCGGTGGGGAGGGCGTAGAAATATATTTGACGTATATGATTTCAACCTTTTGTAAATATGAATACAGGTATATCCTTTCAAAGCTAACGTTTATTTATATATGTCTCATACATCATTTACTTCAAAATAAAATAACAATAATAAAAACTTTTTCAAACTGCTAATAAATGTAAATGGGTTTATTATCTTTTGATTTTTATAATTGGTTATTGCGAAATTTCCCTAGTATGGGCTGGGAGCTTTTTTTACAAAGCGCGTAAAATACGACCCGCTGAATTTGAGCATAAGGAAACACCATCTTTGAAATATGCGATAAAATGTCGATGATTCGTGATTGAACCAGAAAGTTAAAACAATGAACGGCCGCATAATTAAGTTGCATATTTTTGAACCATTTAGAATTTGTATAAAAACAATTAAATATAACTAGCTGTATTTTAATATTCATATTCAACGCTACTAAGCTGTCTTCGAGAATCTAAACACTATGAAACTTAATAGTTGCTAGCACAACGATACTTCGCTTATATTGCAATAAATTAGATAAGCGAATAGTTGGCAAAGAAAGGGGGCTGATACAATGGGACGCCATTTTCGTTTTCGAGATAAAAACTCACGCGTGGTAAATACCGTATAACTGTCCGCACAGCGGCATACGACCGTGTAACTCTGAGGTTCGTATAGTTTTCTGGAAATCTCGTTGGTGTATCTAGCAATTTTGTATAGCTTCGCGTTATGAGATATTAATAATACTCTACAATAAATATACTATATAATAAAATGCGCGAGTAAATAAATTATTATAAGAATAAAAATAAACGTGTGAATGAGTGAGGGAATGACGTAACATCCGAAAATGAAAGACGGGCCTTTTGCTCTAACCCGCAGTCTAAGCTAAAATTATGTGCCTTGTCCTGGATATCGTATATAGACCTTACGAAGACAGGAGAGAGATGAGAGAGAAGAATACGGTCTACAGAATTTTCTCATAAGGCGCAAGACTTCTGATATTCGCGCCAGGATGGCCATGTACTTTTTCGCACTCCTAGATTTAGCATGCACCCCATTACTTTCAGCTCTTTACTTTCTCTTATTCGCATTCTGCATTTGATATCTCCTGCATTGCATTCTTATTGCATCTATCCCTGTCCACTATGTGAAAAAAGCTTTCAGAATTTTTCATAAAATATTTATAAATTTCTAACTAATCAGTGCTTGTAAATACTATTTTACATACGCTTATTCATATTCATATATTCATGTTTCTTAGAAAATCGTTAAGAAAATTCATATAAAAAACACATGAAACAAAGAAAATTTGTAGATATTTTCTCCAATTTCAAAATATAGCGTAAAATGACAAAGCCTTCAATATTTTCCCAAAAATCCGTGGAAAGAAAGCAACAATAAAATCCGTATCACATCTTTCAGTTTCATTACAAAAAAAAAAAAAAAATTAATATTAGTTACAGTGAGAACTCAACCCATAAGTACAACATATAAAAATTTAAGTTGTGATTAGGAGCGCAAATCAACCTCGCAACTATTCATCCCACACTAAAAAATCTTTCCATTACAAATAGCAGAAGTGTTTATGATTGTAAAAAAATCAACGACATCACTATGCACTAAGAGTAAAATAAAAGACTCCTCTTTAGCATGTTACTGATAAATATATATTCCATATTATGCTAAGGAATATGTAGAAAGGAATGGCACTTAAAAATACATATAAAATATATTTAGCTGATCTGTTTCAATTTTTTTCCAAAATACTTCGCTCGTTTCTTTTAATCTTCCCCGCATTGGATAATAACCTTTTTATAACCATAATTTGATTCAGACTGCGCAGCTGCAAAAGCTTGCTCGATATGTGACCATTGATATCTGGCAGCAATCATTTTGTCCATTGGTGCACGGCCTGATTTGATAAGATGAATCGCAGTGGCAAACCTGACAAAGGGAATGAATATTTAGTAAGCCATTGTTTAATCTTATGAAAAAACTCACATGTTCTTTGAACGAAAGCTGGGTATTATTCGTATATTTTTCATGAGTACATCCAGCGCATTAAAACATACACCCTCTGATTCACATTCTGTTAATACACACGTTCCGCAAGGCCTTAAGCACATGACTGCTATATTCATTGTTCGTTCGTTGATAGCACAATTGATGACAACGTCGGGCCAGTCCTGAAAAGTGCAAAAGATGCCTTCCAATATCTCACCGTAGTCGCCATGAACATCATAACATACGCAGTCAAAGTCAAAATCATCATGAATTGACGCCAGAGGAGTGGCCATGGTGCAAGCAAAGACTACATTCTTCGCACCTATTGCTTGAGCGCAAAAAGCCGAAGCAACCGCAATGGCTGATGATCCCATGATTAATACATTTGTGGTGGGTGTAATGTGTGCTTTGAAAACTGCTTGACAGCCTTGGGCTAAAGTTTGTGTTAGCGCTGCTTCGACCATGCCAACAGAGTCAGGTAACTTGTAACATAAGTCGGCTGGATGTACTTGATATTTCATTAAAAAGCCATTGTAGACAATATTATTGCACATGTTGTATACACCTCGCTTGCAGAACTCACATATACCACAAGACAGACTGGATTCCATGACAACACGATCTCCTCTGCGAAGACTGTGTATACATTCTCCAGTTGCCTCTATGATGCCAGTAGCGTCGTGACCCAACGAAATGTTGGCGCTATTAGTACTACCATGTTCATAAACGTGAATGTCTGAACCAGTGATGGCCACCTCACCAGTGCGTACTAAAACATCTGAAATGAGATGAATGAAAAACGACAATCTATAAAAATTGAAATAAAAATAACCGAAACCGCTTTATCACACCATATCTTCGCTTGAGAGTTTGTAAGAATAAGTGAATACAGTTTACATTTTAATATTAAAAAGTTTCGTTTTCTCAACTTACCATAGGCGCTAAATTTTGGAATGGCTGCACATACTTTTTTGATTTCACATGCTTTTTCAATTTTGACTATTTCATTGTTCCTACATATTGTAGAATTGTAGAGCTCAACTTGATCGTCATTTAAGTCGGCTTTTATTAGAGAACAAAAGTGAAGAATAGCGGATTGGCTGAAGTGTCGTCCAATTGTTGAAATATTGACAGAGTATTGCGATAGGAAAATTAACGGCGACAAAAATATTGAGCTTTTATTTTCTACCTTGTAATGAAAAACATAATTCAATACGTTTAGTGAGACGCGATGAAAAGTAAAATTTTAATTTGTTACTTACTCTTAGTTTTCGAACCAACTCCCTTTCTGTTTTTAGCAAATTTTTTACAGGCTGTTGTGGTCGGGTCTTTACACAGCCTTTTTGGACACTCAGTTTCAAAATCAGTATAACACACTGTTAGTTTATTTCTAGGGCGAGCTTTGGGATCTGGCCTGCGAAATCTAGGTTTTACCAATTTTGAGAGCTTGCATTTAAAGGCGTTACGTTCAGAAATCACTTTCTCAGCGTTGCTGCTTCTCTTCCCTTTGTCACTTTTATGACGTCTTGTAAACCCCAAATCTGAAACTGGAAACATCCGAGTAATACGGTAAGTAACAAATGAACTTTTGAACGCAGAGTCAAGTGTATGCTGGCTTATGGCCGAATACGTTGAAAATTTTCGACATCCAGGTTTGTTGCCGTCGTCCTTTTTGCAACTGTCAGCGTCATCTTTGAAACAATCGTCTTTGGTTTTGTCTTTAGGACGCGCATTGGGATCAGGCTTTCGTTTCGCTGGTTTGACTTCTTTAATCAAATTGCATTTCCCTTTTCCTTGCTCCTTAGCATTTTTGTCTTTAGAAGCGCCTTTGGAAGCAAATAACCTTTCGAAGTTAAGGATAGGTTTAATTGCTGCAGCAAGTCCTGCAGCTGGAAATGTTGAATAACATTTAGGTTTGCTATCTTTTTGGGAAACACCACAGGGGCTCTTCTTCTTGTCACCTTTGCCGTCAGATTTGTTACCATTTTTGCTGCAAGGATCAGCCTTTTTGTCGTCTTTCTTGTCATTTTTGCTGCAAGGATCAGCTTTTTT